CTATTCTATTCTATTCTATTCTATTCTATTCTATTCTATTCTATTCTAATTCTTTCTATTCTATTCTATTCTATTCTATTCTATTCTATTCTACTTTTGTTTCTGCACGTTACTTGCTATGTGTATCAAATGGCATGCACATTATTCATCAGATCTTAAAACAGTATCAAATATTGAAATGCAAGGAAGGTTTGTACCTACTGGCAAAACTTGTCCCACATTTGTGTCTGCTTGTAAATCTGACATGAAATTATGCATATTGTACATTTTGCAAAGCACAAATAGTTTCATGTGAACAGAAAAAAAACTGAAACGACCTAATATTTTACACATCATGGGGACACACAAGGGCTCTTTCTTAATATGTTCAATATATTATGAAATTGGTTGAAGTGATGCACAACATTTTTATTCCTTTAACTAATGGAAGACAGTAAAAGTAACTATTCACCGTCTTCTGCAGTTCTTAGCTAAATCTCTAACTGATATAAATCACTCAAGATCCATAAGCTCATCAACAGGTAAGGACTCTGGTCCTCTGAACTCTTCATTTGAGACATTCTTTCCACAGTCTGAACACTCACCTTGAGCTCCAAAAGTCTCTGTTCCATGATTTCATATTCAGCAACTGCAACCGGAGGTACGGAGACTTTAGTTTCTGACTGCTGGATCCATGAAAGTATAGTAGTCACTGTGTCTTTATAGCGTGCAGGAGGCAAACTGTCAAAAACTGCATTCAGTGGGGAAGAAGAAGGAAAAAAGTCATTTCACACTCAATTATTTGTTTTGTTGAAAGAAGATGTTTGATAGAGGACCCAGCCCTACTGAAGTCATTAGCCATTTTGCAACAGATTACAACAGAGCCAGTACGGTCAGCATCAGATTTTTCCAAGAGTAGCAGAAGAAGAAAACTTTTGAAGAATGAATACACTCTTTCTAATAGTTATATCTCTGTCATTTTATGAGGTGTGTAATATTGGATTCTCTTGTTCCACATCAAATGAAAATCTACATGGTTAAATCAATTTAAATGTGTGTGTTTAGAGATCAACATACAAACCAATGTACTTAACCCAAAATCTAATTTCAGAAATGTAACAGGAAAAAGCATGCCCTTTTATGGCCCATGCTTGTCTGTTTAACGTTTCTTTTCAAGTAAAAGGTTTTATTAAGAACATCTGTTAAAAGAATAGAAGATGAATCTCTCTACAGTGAAGCTGAATTTTATTGTCCTCTGCTTATTACAACAACACTATAGTTGCCATAAACAGACAACATCTGGAGCACACATTACCAACTCATAAGCCGAGATACTACGTCTGCCCTCAACCATACTTTCATCTACAGTCATTGAGGTAAGTACTGACAAAAAATACGTCTAGTTCATTGAAACATTTTCAACTTGTGCCATATACATAATAATGAAGTTTACAAATGTTTAGAAAAGATTACAACTATTTTTATCTCATGTGTGTTTCAGAAGGAACTGTACTGAAAATTGATATAGTTGTCCAAAAGCAATTATGACAAGTGCAAGCTTGCTTACATTTTCGTAAAACAATGGTTGGCAGAATGCACTGCTCAATGTAACTTACTTTTTTAATTATTAACAGAATGTCTCTTTAAAAACTTGTACTGTCAGCAAGACATCACTACATTATACTGAAATCATGTCCACTTAAGTCTCTCTCTTGTAGAACATGCACTTTATATGGCGTACCATCCTATTCTTGAAATACTGCCCAATATCATTTACTATACACAACTGCAGATTTACAAAAGATAAGTCCCGCTCCCATAGAGAATTTTTTTTTTTTCCCTTCTAGGTGTGCTTTATTTACACAAAAGCAATTGTGATATATGCTACACAGAAAACAGGCATTTTCCATACTATCACCACTGCTAACAGTAGGCCTACTGAAATAGCATTTTTAAATTTTATTTCCTTCGTTACATTTGCACTGCCTGTGACTCATTTATTTAAAAAAAAAAAATCTTATTTTAGAATAAAATACATTTAAAAAAAAAATACATAAAATACATTCATCACTCCAAATGGAGATACTAACAGCTCAGATATGATAAAGAAGCATACAACTCTTAATTTGCATTATTATTTAAAATAGAAAATGGAGTTCAGTGTTTTGATGTCATGTTTAACTTCTTAAATGACAATTTTCTCCTTCAAATGAAAAAAATCTTAGAACTGCTATATGAGTTCAAGCAGCTATGTAAAAGAAAAACTGTTTTTGGTAATAGTGGGGAACATTTCAGAACAGGTGAAAAGCAGATTTACTGTTACACAAAACTCTACCAAACTGCATGAAAGTCACATTCCGAACATTTGCCAGTAAAACAACTTGATGAACATTCAAGTATTGCTATGTTTTTTTTTCATTTTTATCTAATGATGTTACCTGCTACTTTCAGGACTAAATAAGGACCACAGCCATTGATTTAATCAAGTTCCCAATTAAGCTACTAAGTATTCAATTTAAAAAACACTCTTAAGTTCAGTGAAGAACAGATTGCTAGGAATGAAGTAATAGCTTTCCATGTATTTTACTGACGTAGATTTTTCTTTTAATGACATATCTGTATTTTCCTCGACAAGAAAGCATCTTATTTCAGAACAGCACTCAACAATTGCCTATATTGTTTTTCCAATTTCTGGGTGTCAGCGATGAGAATCCAAACTCCTACACTGAAATCACTGTTACGTAATTTCAGTTTTCAAAGATCTCACACATCTATGATCTCACTACAGGCAGTATGAATCTCTAAGTTCCCCTTGCTCATAACATACATACACATCCAGGCCTGTTTATTACTCTAAAATTTGTTTTGCCACAAAATTGTTCGTAGATTAATGCCCACATAATGAATGAGGTGCATTAATATGGATTCTGATCTCTTATATGACACTTTGTAGTTAAAAAGATATAGCAAGTTTTCAACCCGAACTGTAACTAAACTAGATCTTTATTTTGTGAACAGATTTCCTTTTTCTTTTTTTTTTTCTTTTTTTTTTTTTTTTTCCTCAAAACAAAAATGAAATAAGGATACTACAATTATTTCAACAACTATCAAATCCCACTGAATATACTGCAATGTCCATCTCCTTCAGTCAGGACAAATCCCACTGCTCATCACATGGTTGTGAAAGAAGAAAGACATTAAATATAACCTATGGGATCGTTTCTGTAGTGCTTGAAACAAACTGTCTACATAAAAATGCAAGTATTTCCCACACAAATCTCCTTAAAAGCAACTGCAGTGTCTACAATCACATTGTATTTTTCTTGGAACTTTGTTTTGCTAATTTTGTAATACCTATCTTTGAAGAAGTTCATCACAGTCTTTATATTGATAACTTCATTCACTGATAACACAAGTAGTGATTCTTAAATTTTTCTTACTCAAGTACAAAACAATTGGTGAAAGATTATTATATGCATGAAAACAATTTCTCTGTCACTTATAACCCATCTCTAAGATATATTAAGCAGGAAAATGTCATCAGTCATCAGTGAGAAATTCAAAGCAAGGCAGAAACAGGACAAACAAAAATTCAAATGGCTTTCTTACTGTTAAGGTTACCGTGGCTTCTTGTCTTATAAATTTATGTCAAGACTGAGTTGCATGACCTCTAGGTTATGCAGTCTTGTTTAAAATACCATGCTTAGGGAGAAAAGCGTACATGTAAAATAACAGTAAACAGAGGGCATAAAGAATCTTTATGTGATACAGAATGCCATAAAGCTTTTCTGTCTGTTTGTTTGTTTTTTAATGTCACTTTCTAAATATCTAATGATACCACCAAAACTCCCACTGAATTACTGTCTTGACAAATTGATAACGGGTATGAGGATGTTTCTCAAAGAAGGTGGGTAACATTTCATTGCAGCAAGACTGAAAAACAGAAGAATTTTTAAAAAAATTTAGAACAGACACAGAACAATATGTATCCTGGAATGAATCACTACAATCTAGGACTTGTTTTGAACCACAGAGTACTTACTGAGTTCTTTGCTGAGAGACTGACTAGACTCTTAAATATAAATCCACCACACAGCATCAGTTCGTTTCAAGACAAATGAATATAATGTTTAGTCCCTCATTTTTCACCAGAGTATTTATAAAACCAAGAATTTCCTTGTGAAAACAAATTATTTGTATTAAAAATATTCTCATGACTCTCCATTTCACTGCCATTATTGAATATTTAGAGGTCAGCTCTATCTATTTTTTCCATGAACTGATATTCTAAAAATTACTTTGATTAAGTTTGGACAAAAGAGAGGGCTGGAATGATGGATATATCATATTCAAAAGGATCAATTACCTATGGGTAGACAGACACTATAAAGAAAGAAAAATGAGGTAACATCTTCTCGTATTTTATGAGGTTGTAAAGAAGTAAAAAAAGCAAACAAACAAACAGATTTAATATTGGCTTTAAAATTTACTTTTTTACAAATGGCAATACTATTCAAATCATGGAGAAAAACATTTCAGAAATGCTGATGTCATTTTTTGTATTTTAGGAAGAACTCTACTGTGCAACTACTAAGCACTCATGAACCTAAAAACCACAACAAACAAAACTAACTTGTGAGAGACACTTATTTTGGCAGAAAAATATTTCCTGTAAACAAATCAGAAGAGAATATCACAATACTCTAATCTGCCAGAAAGATGATGTAGTAATGTAACACAAAAAATCTTGAAATCTGAACCATTTTAAATGAAGGTAGAAACAGAGAATCATAGAGTAAATAAAGTTGGAAAAGACCTCTAAGATCTCCTCCTCCAACCATTAGCTCATTCCCATCATGCCCACTAACCGTGACTCTCAGTACCACACCTAAACAGTTCTTGAACATCTCCTGTGATGGCAACTCCACCACCTCCCTGGGCAGCCTGTTCCAATGCCTCTCTACTTTTTCTGAGAATAAATTTTTCCTAATATCCAACCTGAAGGTCTTCCCATACAGAGCAAACACATAGGAAGAATAAGAGACCATTAGAGACCTCTGTTCTCTACCATTTTAGGAGAGTAACACTCATCCTGATCTGCTCAGTGCTGCCACTGAAGAACAGCTACTGCTGTGGCTGGACAAGTAACGGAAGCATTTTGCAATACAGTACACAACTACAGCCAGGAAAAAAAACTCCAACACAGCCCTTGCTTTGTGACATTATAATTCAAGTAACGAACACTACTTATCTTACAATCAATTGGCTAGATGGTCTTGCTATAATAAAATTAGGTAAAGCAGATATAGTAATTATATAACACTATATAGAGAATAAAACATAAAGAAATCAGCATTTTCCATATTTTCCTGTTGGTAGGGTGGTAAATAATGTCAACATACAAAACAGTGTGGCATTTAAAAAAATTATTATCAATTCCACAGCCATCTTCAGTGTCACAAATAAATGTTACACTCTTTAAAACTAAAATTCTACAGATTATTCTTCCATCACATGCTATGGCATATTTGTATTTTATTTTTTCAGTTGTCTTATGCATCATCACCTTTTCAGTTTGTGTGTGTATGTGAAGTAACTACTACAGCACAATAACGCAGTGTTTTGGGGGAGAAAAAAAGGAAAAAAAATAGCCTTTATTTAAAAACATTAAATATTAAAAATAAAATCATTCTCAATAAAGTAATTTGGGAGGAATACCATAAAGATCCACTAGAAGGAGCTGGCATTCTTTCTAATTTCAAAATACTACAGTCATTTAGAGGTATCATTGCTCTAAGGGAAAAAAAAATTTCTGCTGTTGAGAAAGATATAAATTAATATTTTGATCTGATACTTCAATTTTAATTTCATAATCAAATACGCTAAATGTACAGTAGGCATTAGCATGCGGGTCAATAATAAAATCACCTTCAATTTTAGTATAGAATCCTGTCCCTTTTAAAAATGTGTTTTATTACAACTACTACAAATGATATTATAACTAGCAATCATGCATTTTATGCAGGAGAAAATAAACAGTTTACCCCATGATGATAATCTAGACAGCCTAAAATAAGTATTTTGTTTAATGAGTTTTGTGGAACTAGATTTCTATTCTAGAGAAGTCTAGAGCAGATTCATTGCCAAAATTAAACTCTCCTCTCTACTGACAGATATAGAGAGAGAGCTCTGTCTTATTACCCTACTAAAGAAAGCTTTATATTGCCAAAATGTATCACAAAATCTGTCATATATGTTCTGTTAGAAGGAAATCTGATGGTAGAACTACACCAAATGTAACTTTTGCTTCTGAACAGCGTACTCTTCCCCGTTTTCCTATTGCTTTATCATAATTTCAAATAAACTAATTCAATTGCAAAAAGATAACCTAAATTGTACTACTCATTTAGTGCTACAGAAACAACTACAAAAGTAGGAAGGCAAATATGCTCATGCTTTGTACTCCGGTCAGACAAAATCAATTTTTCTCATGAATACTCACTGGTCTGTAGTTGCTTTTCTCTGGTGTGCATGTCAGCAAGTATTTGTTTGAAGTGGCTGGTAAAAGCAGCAAGGTCAGCATCCAGAAACACTGGGCTACCTTCTTTCTCTTTCAGAGCTCGACTTTGAGCCTTTAGCCGTTCAATTTGGGGCTGAAGAGTTGACATTCGGATGATTTCATCCTGTATGTTTGGATTAAAAAAAAATAATAATAATCAAGATAAAGACATCCTCCAAATGAAATCACTTGTGCCATGAACTCACCATTTCACTACACACTGCAAAATTACTTTGCATTCAAAGCTAGTAATAGTAAGAACAAATATCACCAATATATTTTTATCTTTTCTAACCAATCAATAGTTCTGGTTCCCAGTATGACACTTGCCATTGTTTAAAATCACTTCCATGTTGCATTATCACGTTAGTAATGTAATACTAAAGTGGTTGTACATCCAAATTCCATGCCTGAAGACCATTCCTTCCATTTGGAGGTGGAGAGATAAAAGCTCCACATTTACTATAGACCTGAACCTGTCTCTGTTAGATCACGTGCAGTTCAGCTGCCTCAGAGTAATGTACTACAGGTTGAGGTTCTGCTATCTTCTTGTACAGACTGTAACACTATCAATTAATAAGTAAAAACAAATGAGAGAAGTTAGTATCTTTAAGTAAGCGTCTCTAAACAGAAAGTTTTTGCAAGAAGCTGTTCTACCTGCTTGAAAGTGTGCAAAAATATAAATAATAGCAGGAATAGATGTAAATTTATTTCTCAAACGTTGTTTTAGTTTGAAAGCTTCAGGAAGCAGAGATCTGGTAGAATCATGCATCTACAAGCATGTAACAAAACTTACTGGTTACTGTATCTCAATTTAAAAATTATTTGCATATCAAAAAGTATTAGATAGGAAGTGAGTAAGATGTAAGAAGCTCTCCACATTTAAACTCCTCCTCAAATGTTGATCAAATTTCTGAAATCGGTATTGTACTTCTGTCCCCTTCAAAAGCCTCTATGTGGCAGTTCAAACCAAGATACACAGGAAAGAGTGGGTTTCATGACACAATACCTACCAAAGAGTTATTTACAGTAAGAAAGACGAGCAAATTTCCACAGCAGTGAAGCACATAACTGAAAATGTTTTTGGAGGTTTATGACTAAATTGGTGTGGCTGTTTTTGTACAACTATTGAATTCTGTCTTGTGATTAGGGAATAATATTCCTCCTGTTGATTACACATAGGCAGGGCATGCAACAGATAACATGTACAAGGGCAGAATTTTGGACTTGACCATGAAGACACTTTTCAGGCTCAGATCTTTACAACCAGAAATGATGAGAAATAGTTTCTTAATGAAGTATCAAATAAATAGATTCTTACAGGAAAAATAAGAATAATTTAAGGGTCTAATTATCTAACTTTAGGTATGCAAATATCTTAAAATAATTAAATGATTGGAACACAATTTTAAATAATCATATACCAGGCCTCTTTATTTACCATTCCTTCCTTTCCTTGAGTAATTATTCTTCATTAACTATTTTGAAAACACGAGGAGTACAATTTTCATATATCGAAATCATAGAATGGCCTGGGTTGAAAAGGACCTCAATGATCATGTAGTTTCAACATCCCTGCTATGTGCAGGGTCACCCAACCACAAGACCAGGCTGCCCAGAGCCACATCCAGCCTGGCCTTGAATGCCTCCAGGGATGGGGCATCCACAACCTCCTTGGGCAACCTGTTCTAGTGTGGCACCACCCTCTTTGTGAAAAACTTACTCCTAATATCCCCCTTGTCTTAGTTTAAAACCATTCCCCCTTGTCCTATCACTATCAACCCATGTAAACAGGGTTCATTCCCCCTCCTATTTATATACTCCCTTCGAGTACTGGAAGGCCCCAGAGCCTTCTCTTCTTCAAGCTAAACAAGCCCAGTTCCCTCAACCACTCTTCATAGGAGATGTCCTCCAGCACTCTGATAATCTTATTGGCCCTCCTCTGGACCCGTTCCAAGAGCTCTGTGTCCTTCTCGTGCTGGGTGCTCCAAGCCTGGATGCAGATCTCCAGATGGGGCCCCACAGGAGCTGAGTAGAGGGGGACAATCACCTCCCCCTCCCTGCTGGCCACTCCTTTTTAAATGCAGCCCAGGATGCAGTTGGCCTTTTGGGCTGCAAGAAATAGTGTATGCTATAATCCGGCCACCTGCTGGTACACATAGGAAGTACAATATAATAAACAACTTAGAAGAATCTCTAACCTTGCATTTTTCCAACTGAATTTTTACTGTAGCAGGATCTGTTGCTGGTGTGGGTTGTGCTTTCAGCCAGTTTTCTGCTGTAATTGCTGTCTGCTCCAGTTGCTGCAGCTGGGAATAGAAGTCAATGATGCTATTTTGGTACTCCAACCATGCCAGTCTTTCACTCAGCAACTGACAGAACTCAATCCAGCGACTCTTCAGCTGCTCTGAGGCTTGTCTAATGTTGTCAGCATTCAGACCCTCTATAAAGAACACAAGAGAAGAAGCTCAACACTTAAAAGTCACAAAGAAGTAAATCAGTTTACAGTACTTTAACAATTCAATTTCTACAGCTGAGAGCTAATAAATCTAAAAAACGTTGTATCATCAAATAACAAACCTGAACATACAGATGTTACACATCAATGGAGAAAGAATTTCAGAACTACTTAAAGTTACTGTCAGGATATTTTCCTTAAAATGGGAATGCATTATAAAGTGCATTATGATACAAGAAAGGGAACAAAGCAGAAAGTTGTAACATAATACAAAAAGCTAATTAAAACTGCTGTAAGAAGTAAGAAAATGTGTGATAACTGGATTTCGAAAGCTCTGTCTGGATTGCAACTGGATTTTAACATGTAAGATCCCTGTGTGGTTTTCTTTGTTTTAAAGGCAATTTTCAAGTGTATGGGAACTAGGTTCCACAGTTATTTTGATATTTTTTTCACAATCCAATCCTTAAGTTTAGCATTACTAGTTTAAAAATATTGTAAGGGCTTAAAAATAACAGTCCGGATCAGACCAAAGTTAACACGTAACAAAGTCCCCTGTCTCCAACAGTGTTCATCAATAGACATCAATCAACGACTCAGAGTCAAGAAACCATGTGACATTTCTTCATAACTATTTTCAGCTGGGGTTTGGTTTGGCATGCCATACAATGACACACAGCAACACAACTGATACTGACCAAAAATTAATAAATTTCTCAATGAAGTACACGTTTAAGAACTTTTTTAGTAACAACAGTAAATCATACACTAGTTAACCAGTAGAACAAAAGCTATGTTTTTAACTATATCAAATTTCAGGTGTTTTCATATTTCTTAAAACCAAGTTTAAATGCAAATAAAACAAAAGCCTTCAATGTGATACTTCACACTACAGTGTGATTTTTAAGATGCTATGATTTATTTTGGTTCTACTTACAATCTTCGAGAAAAATTCCCTATGAGGGATACAAAACTGTGAAATCCATGCACAACTGTTTTAGTAGAACTTAAGAAATTATGGCTGAAGTCATTACATAAAAATAATACTGAAAACTTACTATAATAAACTTAATAATGACCGTTATAAACAATACTGTAAATCACACTAATTGAAGTGTGTTTGCTATGGAACTCCATTGTTCTCCAACAATCATTATTTTGGATTCAGCTCACGGCTGATTCAGTGCCACTTATAAACAGATGACTGTGCAGTACCTTACAGTAAATTCCTGGACAGACTCTATTGCTAGGATATTGCCCTAGCCAAGAAAATTGGACATGATTTCAAAAAATGCAAGCAAGGATGCAGAAAGAAGCCCAGCACTACCAGGATATAATGATAACTGGTGGTTACAATAACTACATATACATGCTGTACCCAGGAAAATGGATGGCACAATTTAATGATTGGACAAGGATCTAAAATAAAACTTAAAGCGTAAAGAAGTAACATAATTTTAATACATATTAGTAAGATCCACTGGTGATGTGTTTCTTCTGTGTGTGTCTGCATTTGGAGACACTGCTGCAGAACTACTTTATTTTCTTAGAGTGTCTTATGAATACTGTCTTAATGTCTAATGAATATACATCAATATACAAAGAGGCAGCATAAACCTGAATGGCATATCTTAATAACAACAAAGATGACTGGACACATACATAATGAGTGTTACCAATATCAAGAAAAAAAACAAATATATAGGAGACAAGCTTTTGATTATGCTGTATTTCAAAAATTGCATCTGTGCCATTGTGACTCTGGTTATAAAAATGCTGTATGCTCTTAAGAGAGAGCAAACATCCCTGGCACAGCGTACATAATTAATTACCTCTGAACCTGGAAGACACTTCCTATGACTTTGACAGAGAAGAAAGTAAAAAGTTACTTTCATTTTTTTCTCCTCTCCTCTTTTCAGCTGCCACAGTTTCCAAAGTATCCCTAGGCCAGATTATGATTACAAGAGAAAGTGCACTCATGAACTCTCAGTACATAATAATACTTTTCTCTGTAGTTCTTTTTCAAGAATTCAGAGAAGACTGTACATAATACAAAAATCTAGATTCATTAACTCCTCTCTTCTTCCTTTCACAGCTATATCCCTTTTAATGTTATATGTGGAAATATCCAGCATTACTCAGTTTTCACTAATATTTCACTATCTAAACTTTGAGTTTATAACCGATTCCACAAAGCCACAGAAGAACAAACAAATGATTCTGTTCTTGATATAACTGAAATGGGAAGTAGAAGACCAGAGTGAGCAGAGCTATAATTCCTAAGAAAATACAGAGGCCACTTTAGACAGTACAATACCCTACTGAAGTGAAGACCCATCTGAAAATATCCAAGGGACACTCTTTTAAAACTCTCTAAGTTTACAGTCCAGAAAACACCTATCGAATGATATCATTTTTCAGAAGGATGCAAGAAAATGCTTATTACTTGCATGTCATAAATTTTGCTAGAAGAGTCTAAGCCAAAATGGTAAGAGGTAATTTAATTTCCTAAACCTATATATATATTTTCGAATAATTCTAATCCAGAAATGGAACTTGTCCAAATCTTCACATTTATCTTGTTTTGAAGAAAGCTTGTCCTCCTTCTATTTGAAAATTAATAATTATTTGAATAGGTGATGCAATGCAGGCAGAGTTCTAAATGTTCTTATTTTCAGACTGAATTATTGAAAGCCAAAACCTCAAAAAATACTTCCATGAGAAGTACTGATTTCTTCACTATCTTTACCAACTCTAGCAACTATCAGCTTGTATTCATGATGCTGACAACAATCTTCTTAGTGTGCTTCACTCACGGCAACAAGACATACAAAAATTGAGAATCAGGGGTCAAAATCCATTTTCTGGTAATTTTAGAACACTGTTAATTTAGAAATATTGGTTCATAACCTTTTCATTTTTCATATTTTAAGATCTCCTGATACAATCAGTGAATAAATAAACTGTACCCAGAGGAAGCAGATCATTGCCTGGAGTACCTCTATTAATTTTACTAGTGTGCCTACTATGCATAACAAATTGTGTCAGTACTTTTAATTGTGCGGCATCTTACATGCAAGTACTCTGGAACTGCCAGTTAGTATGAAGCATATCTTATGAAGTGTATTTATCGTTTGCTGTGAATCTATGACAGAATAATGTAATATTATCTACGTTTTTATAGATTTTGATGCATAAGCATATGTGAAATGGTAACTCATAATGAAACAAGATAATACATTCCTTCCTTAAAAAAAGGACTCCTAACCAATATGTGTTCTATCACAACAAATTCTTCTTCTATATTCACTTTAATTCTGCCTATCAAACATCTCTCAGTAGTCATTTTGTTGCATTTTAGAATGGAATTGGTTTTATATATATATTTATATTTATATTTATACATATGTAAATCATTACATATTTTATATATGTGTGTGTGTGTATATATATATATATGTACACACATATATTTATTTTGCTTTTATTCCCCCATTTTCCAAAAACAATGGAAGCAGAACATAAATGTTTTTATTGACTGTAATCATCAGGCCTCTTTAAACTGACGGGCAAGGAGAGGCCGAGCACAGCCTGTGTAGAAGAAGGGTGATTTTTTAAAGATAAAAACAGTGATTTCCCTGTGATAGGAAAAGTCCTTCAAATGGCACTAACCTAACCAGACACACTGCTTACAAACTTAAGAATAGCTGTGAAATCACAGTTCTTTCCACTCAGAATACTTTTGCTGATACTGGCTGAAAACATAAGGCAGGAATGTTGCCCTACATAAATACATTTTCTCAGATTACTTTTCTCAATTCTAAGAAAGAAAGAAATGAGACTAAACAAAAACACCTACTTTTCTCCAGAATTTGAATCCTTCTTTTTACTTATTTCCTCTCCTATCACAGTAAAAGAGCAAGAAAATAAGTATATAAATGATTTAACAATGAAATTTACCACCATTGTGAACTTCTCTCTTACAATATACCAGATTACTTCGTACTTTCATACTGTTCAATTTTTTTATTTTTTTATTTTTTTTATTTTTTAAGAACAAAGAGGAAGCAGACCTACGTAAAAGCAAAGCCAAAAATTTAGTGCTGGTATGATTGGAATCTTAGAACTCTAATCATTATGTACATGATATAAAATAACTAAAAAATAGCAATGCAATTAAAACTGTAATCACTTGTTTTCACAACTGATTTATATCTTAAATTGGTTTGCCTTGGGTAGTCTTTTAGTTACAGATTACACAGCATGTGCATATGTCATATGTGCATGACAAACTTCAACTGCACCTGTAAAATATTTCCACAAAGAAAGTACATACAAAATAATCATCTGTTTAGTACTTACATCTGTGGTTTTAGATTATGATCATGAAAAATTAAAAAAGATCATTTATTCAAGATAACACAGTATATCTTCCCTCCACCAGATGCTAAACAATGTGCTTCCCAAATTTGAAATGGTATGTTTAACTTCACTTCCTTCACTTGCTATGATAAAAAAAGTTCCAGCATTAGACAAAGGAAGGCACGTAGCTACAGTCAGTCTAACCTGTTGGATATTATTTTGGAGATTCAGCTAGAAAATTTTCCTATGATGTACTCTTTCCTCTTTTCTTCTTAGTGAATCCAGAAATCCGCAAAAATTATAACAAAGAGGAGAAGACTGTATGTCCCAAATGCCCAAATGAATTTCAACAAGCCTCACAGCTACTAAGGAAGCTTAGTTGAACTACCCTGGAAAATATATACCTACATAAGCCTACTGCAGTTTAAGATATAGGTTTAATGCTGAGGGTTGTTTTTTGTTTTGTTTTGTTTTTTAACACATCTTTTAGTTCAGCATCAATTTACAGATGCTCCCATTAATTGCAATAGTATTTGAGCATATGATTAAAAAAACAAACAAAATTTCTTCTTCATAGAAGTACTGAGGTTGAACACTGTGGTTACCTTCCCCTATGCTCAGAACATAATTTTGAACACCTAGCAAAATATTTAATTCGCAAAATTCTTTGTTAATGTGATCTTACAGTTCTCTTCAAGTAAAGCTGATAATTTAATTCCACTCTCTAGCACTCCTTCTTGGTGGTGATCTTTGCATTATTTAACCATTTAATAAACTGTTCCTCAAGTTGCCATAAACAATGAGGCCAGAGAAACTCTTTTTGACGAAATAGTTTATTATCTAAAATCACCGCAAAAAGAAGCTTCACTCCTACAGGCATCTAATCCATCACCCTTGCTAGAAAATTCCTGCTGCTAAGGCTACCATGACATTTGGCATCATATGCCATATGTAAGGCAGAATTCAAAGTAATTGACAGGAAACAGATAAAGTCATGCTGGGTCAGCTAGCCTACTCAGTGCTTATACCCCAGCTGCAAGATGTGCTTTCTAAAAAGAGGGTACTTGGGATACAATGGATAATAAAGCACATCTAGTCACGGTTAAAATCACAACACCTATGAACTATGAATAATCACAAAAGCATGAAAAAAGAGAACATTGAGGACATGAGAATATTTAAGAAAGCTAATCTGATTAAGCTGAAGATGGAATTCCTTACGTGCAAGTCTGCAACTGGCCAAAGAATCAATGGGGCACTGTTAACTGGGCACTAAGCAGGTTAGGTCCAAAATAACAATCTTGATATGTCAGCACACAAATTTCAAATATTGCCTTAGAAGTCCTGTACAGCAGATCTCCCTGGCAGAAAAATATGTCAAAAAAAGATACAGAACTTTTTTTTTGTTTTTCCTTCACAGAAAAAAATCCAATGACTTCAAAAAGGGTGCAAATTTTACCAGACTCCCTCCTGTCTATTCACAGAGCATGTGAAAGAACCTCTTTTAACTGATGCAATGATAATTGTAATTAAATATGGCCAGAATACAAGGGTGGTTACTTTTAAAGTACCACCTTCATACTTAAAAATTCATACTTAAGCAAGATAATCCTAAAACTCCATCAAATGTGTGTAGTTTAGCATTTCATTAATAACAGTTACATTCTTGACTCTGTTATAACAATTTAACATAAAACATACGTTCTGAAGTTCTGTGCATTCAACATCTGTATTTTTGTAAGCCTATCAGTATACAGATTGTGGTCCATGGTTAATATTTTTACTACGAAGTCAGACATTTTTTTAACATCAGAGATAGGCACATGGCATACAATTTGACTTCCATCTATCTTGCTGTTGGGTTTTCTTCTTCCTTTAAAAAGTTCATAAACTTGGCTGAACATAATCGCATACTTTTCTTGGAAAATTCAATGATTAACATAGAAAAATCGCAACTTTTTTTTTTTTTTTTTTTTTTAAGTGTTGTATAAGCTTTCATGTTTATTATCTTAAAAAGCTGAATGCTAAAAATATCTTCAAATACCCAATAAAATTTTATACTTTATATAATACGGAACATTACAGCAACATACATATAACAAAATATACAAAGTTTATTATAATCAAAGTTAGAAAACACTTTTTCAAACTGTTCAGTTTTCTAACTTGGATGAATTAATGTACCTTTGAAAGCCTAGTATACTCAGAAAATAAGATTACAACTTTATTCTCTACACAGAACAGATTGTAAATACAGGTTCATTACCATCAGCACGTTTTACACACACTTGTTTTCATGATACTGAAGTTGTAAGATTTTTCTCTTTACTAATTAACAAATTTAATATCCAGAAATAATAGAATAAATATAATGAAATTTACTTTGCTGTTCCATTTAGATAGCATTTTTCTAATATAATTCTTGCGATAAATATAAACCTGTGCATTTATTAAATCCCTGAGAACATTATCAAAATCAACTCTCTTGTAATTACCATTCACCATCTGTTCCACCAGGGCCTCAGCTGATCTGCTGGCATCTTGCAGCTTTCTGTACTTCTCAGGCTTTTCTCGCTGGATGGCCTGCAGCATGACAGGAAAGGTGAGTGTTTCAAAAGAGGAAGAAGAACGTAAATAATCTCAGGGATGTCCTGATTTCTTGAGACTGCTTAACCTGCCACATTGCCCTGCCTGCCTCCTGATTTGCAAAGAAAGCACGAAGTATCACATACCAAGTTAGTCTTAAAGTCAAATACATGACTTCAGAATTGGAACTCAACAGAGTTGACAAATGATACACGTCAGTATTTTACAGACAAATCATAGACAAATTAAGAGCTATTCAAAGCCCAATATTTCAAAAGAAAAACATACGTTCAACAGAAATTCCTTGTGGAGGAATAGAAAATTTACTTTTCTTTTTCATGTAACTCCTATTTTTATTAGTAAGAATTAAGATCATGCTAACAAAAATACAGGGTCTCATGTCATACTGAACCCATATATGATTTGATTGCTTATTTTAATATTTTGTTGTCATAAAAAATGTAAAATGGATATTCAAGTAGGTATGTAACATATATAGCAGACATCCATATATAAGCCAGTAGCTAGGAGTTAAGAATAAATTGCAGAATCAACACAGGGTTTTCATTATATATTGTACCTAATACTTCAAGTCACTTTTCCTTACTTAAGAAGTTCTCACTCATGTTTAGGTATGTTCACAGTAACTGGTAATTGTAGGTACAGCTTGAGTTTCAGGATGAAGTAGAAATCTAAATTTCTATTTTCATTTGACTTGGTAACAATATAGAAGGAAAATAAAACTGTATTAGATCTAACACCTCCTCAATTACGTTTAATAATTAAAAACATCATGTTGATTTTAGACTAATTAGTCCATAGGTATAATTATGATGCTCTAAACTAGAAGGCTAAATTTCTCTTCTAGTTCAGGAAAAGCCTAAGGCTATAATCCAGTTTGAAACCAGAAATAAAACACACTATACATACCGCCCAGAGATCCTACCTAAAACAATCTCTCATTATTCAGAGTCCACCAACTAATCACAGCACATATACATATACAAAAGGAAATGCCACAAAAATCTTAGTGTGACATACAGGAAACTTACAAAATCCTGGCTGTCGCTTCTCAGTCTGGCTTTTCAAAATATATATTTAACATACTGCTAATTATTAATGATAATTTAATCTTAAATCATCCTTGAAATTTCATAAAGTTTAACCCAATAAACTCAAGGTAACGATATTACTTGTAGTTTCTGTAGGTCAACAAAATCTTTTCAAAATTAAAAAGTCAAAAAACCTCTTCTGTTAATTCTCTGCAGAGTTTCAAGACTACAGAATCTTAATTCTGTCTATAATGCCAGGTATAACGAACCTAAGTCTAACTGCGCAGAACTCAGAACAATCATAAAATCATTGAAATATATTGAAAATAATCTTGCTCTGTCTGCAGTGCCAGATGTGTAATTATCGCAAGTGTTACTGCACTGAACACAAATGAATCTTTCAAAACCTGATATACACTAAAAAAAGCTTTTGGAAATATGAAAACACGACACTGAAGCATGTGACAGGGAACTCTTCAGTGTCTGATAACAGACCAGGAGTCTGGAAAAAACTGGAAGCATGCCTGCTTCTTTCTCAGAAGATCAAGGTTTTTAGATCCTGAGAGAAAACAAAAGCACTTTCATGTGAAACACTTAAAAATAAACACGAAAGTTTGGCACACATCAATACCTCCCTGCACTCACTTTTTGTGTTATTAAAATATATCATAAAGATGAAGGGCTAGCAATAGATAAAGACATATGTTTACACACAGAAAATACAATGCCAAAAGAGAAATGGCTGTCCTCTTGGTCCTCATACAAAGTATGGGACAATTTACCTCATCTGTGGAGAAAGCAGACTTAGTTAACAGCACTAACGTCTTACTATGGTCTTAACTGCACATGCTTCAGTTGTTTGTCAAACCCACAATCTTCATCTTATGTTTTTAAAGTCTTCTGAGGAATTTTTGTAAACAAATGTAGAGTGCCAAGAAATAAATGAAGTAACAGTTTCATAAACACCTCTCATTTATCCTTTCTGATCTGATTTGTTATTGTTTCCTGTACCGAAAAGGACAAAACTCTCAATTCAGATTTATTTACAATAAAAATACACTGGGATAAAATTGAAGAGGTTTGTGAAATTTGGAAACTTTTACATTTATTGTTATCAACACTGCTTTGTCTGATGAAAATTTATGGTAGCTGGAAAAAAAAAAAAAAAATTTCCAAAACTGAATTTATTTCTTTTTATATTCTTTTTATTTCTTATACTTTTCCTTACTCTTAGGAAAAAAATAAAAATAAAAAGACTTTTATATAATACGGGATTAATTCTCTGAGGAATATTTTGTAACTGGCAAAACAGATGTGTAATGCCTTAGTTCTAACTGATGGAGTAACATTAAAGGCACCTTTAGCTAAATACCATACGAAGGTGAAGAGGTTATTTTCACAATATTATAAGAGTTTTATTTGGCCCTAAGATTTTAGTTGGTAGTTAATGACTTCATAACATTGAAGACAGTTGCACTTCAGAAATTCATGTTATTCATATCAAATCAAAATCCCATTTTAAGAACTCTGACAATGGATGTACAGTTACAGTAATGCCTGATCTCTTGTTGTTCTTGTCAACTACACCTGTGGGCAGAAGTTTGCAATATTATTATCACTGGATTTTACAACAACTGAGCTTTCAAACATCCAGACCCAACAGAGTATCTCTGAAGATTACTAAATGAGAATGAAAAAGTGAGAACTGAGCATTTAAGAATGCCAAGGGAGCAAATTTAGTTGTCCAGGGTATCTGACATTTTCCCTTACATCAGTTTCTTACCTTCATTTACCTTTGATCTTGAATTTCTAGATGCTTCTTGGCTAATTAAAATTCATTTCAGTGAGTTTTATTCTTAATTTTCTGATGTGAAATCTCAAGTTTTACTTCCCTATAAGCAAGATTTTCTACCAACTTTTTGCACCCAAACCCTCACATATTATAATATGAATATGTGAACTTATAATAAAGAAGGCTCATCGGAGTTTTAGAGAAACAAGCAAACAAAAACGCCTGAATAATTGCTAGACCTGTTTCCAGAAAAATGCACATATTAACTGGAAAATGTTAAGGATATGATGCAGCTTTAAGATATTTTAGGCATTTATGTATGGATGTCTTCACTGTTTATGCATAGTACTGTTGTCACACAGTGAACATCTACACAATTGTGATGTCCAGTCTCTATGGCCAGTTAAGGCAAGTATGTTTTTCTCATAGCTGAGAAGGACTAGAAATATTTTTGCTTCTCTCCATACACAGGAATGGGCTTCTATGCATCTCTAATATATTCAATTTATGTAGCACATCTGCCAAAGGCTAATTTTCTGCCAGTATCTGAACAGCTGCTGTCTTAGCAAACATAGTATGTTGCATACAATCTGCTCTTGGCTCCATCTCCCCCAGGACTTCTCTGAAGTGGGATGGGAGCAGGTTTTTGATCTTGAATCACTGAATCATCAATGATGGCAAAAGAGCTTCCCTTGTGGCTGTTCTGTCTGAAGTCTGGGTCCGTTCACCTACAGATGTACTTCCTATATAATAAAGAAGTAATCCCACTGAGAAAAAAACAATGAATAGAAACAAGATGCTTTGACAACAACAAAAAAACCCACATCCAACTAGTAACCTGTCCTCAAAAGAAAAGTAGAAAGGAACATCATTAGGAAAAGGCTATGGGACTGAGTTGCTACCACAGTAGGCAACAAATGTTAGGTCAGACATTAGTCATCACAGGTGTTCTGTGCTACATCATCTACAATGTCACATACCGAGGAAACTTTCACTTAAAAAGCCACTAAGTACAAGATGATACTTTTTTTATGCATGTGTGTATGGCATCATGCATGTTGGGGTATGATTATGTATGTCAGTACTGTACAATCTTTTGCAATTATCCCTGATGGTTTCCCTTTTGACATTTTACCTTTCATTATATGCCTTCTGCAACTTTACTAGAGATTACAATCCGATAAAAACTGCTATGTTATTTTTCATTGATTAAAGCCTCATTTAGAAAGAAATAGAAACTTAAGGAAAAAACAAGGAACAACACTGTGCAAATCAATGAACTAGACAGTACTTCCTGCTTTGTGTATTAGTTGAACAGCAGAAGACTGAGACCAGGCCAGTCCAATTTTTAAAACTCAGCATTTAAACCTTCATCCTCTTAGTTTTTTTTTCTTTTAAAAAAAGCAACACTTGTTTTTTATTAATAAGAAGAACTGAGAACTGTTCAACAGAGAATCCAGATATTGTCAAGTGCAACCTTAGATAGTTCTATCAAATTAAAATTTCATCTCAATATTCTGTACCTTAAAGTTGCTAGAAGCTTCTGCATGTGCATTGATCTTTTCAATGAAATGTACTACTTTTAAAAGAAGTCAAAGCCAATCTTGTTTTTTAAAAATATTTACAACTTTAATGAAAGATGTTAATTTCTCTTGTTTCTATTTAGAGATATTGCTCTGTCTCAGACTACTTTTAATACAAAGCAGATTTATTTTATGCAATACTTATCATTAAAGAAGTTGGAAATTGGTTTCTTAACCATCAAATAATTTGGTTTCTAAGGAAGTCAAAGAAAAATCCAAAATTCTGCTATCTCCAGTGTCCTGATTTCAAAACATCCAGTATGAAATTCTATACCACTTTTCTCTTCCCTGTCTTCCTCCATTATTATATATGTTTTCACTGACACTTCACAAATGCACTTAACAAATGCACTTAACAATGGCTTCCCAAACCCAACTTTTTTCCACAGCACCAATGAAGGCAAGGTAAGAGCTGCTGGGAAATTCAGATGGGACCAGAGGAGGATCTGTAGTTCACCTACCTCTATCCCCTACTTGCAGTGACACAGATCACCACCTCCTCGGGAGCAAAAAAAAAGGAAAGAAGGAGGAAGGTGAACCATAGCTCCTGAGTCCATTAATGGTTTTACAGAGTCTTAAAAACTGACAACATGAGATGGAGTGTCTTACTGATTAGGGAAACCTAATAGTGGAGGTATTCAGCACAATATGAAGGTCAAAACAGGAGCTGATTTGCCATCCTTGAAACTGTGTTCCGCAAAATGGGAATATATGAAAGGGAGACAGGAGCATTTTCTTTTCTTTTTTTTTTTTTTCCCCATCTACCACAAAGATGGAAACAACAAATTATCTGCATATCTATTTAGGATTGAGACAGTACACATTACCCCAGTATGGAAGCATCTGAATCTATCATTTTCTCTGCATGTTTGAGCCAGTTTATATATTTTTATGCATATAGTTGTGTATATTTACATATCATGAAATGGAGTCGTAAACTAAATTCAATATATTACACTCTAATGGATAATTACACAGTAAGTATCCATTAGATACTTAAGTATTAACACTGGGATAACATTAACAAATAAATTAAGATTATTGTAACAAAAGTATGATTTAACAAGAAATATCAAGATGTGTATTTACTGTTACAGAATTCAGAGTTCCTCAATCCTACTGTTGCTAATTTATGATGGACAAGCAAAGAGTGAGAGAAAACAGCATCAAAAATTAACTTCAGTACAGTAACTTTGTTCTCTCTTTGTTTTAGCAGCACGTATGATTTCATTTTTTAATGAAGTCCCATGACACGCTATTATACTATAAGCATAATAGCTTATTATAAAAACTAATTTGCCTTTCTCTTATTCAGAAAAGGTAAGCTTTCTTGCAACTAGCTACAAAAAATAAATACCGAAGAAAATTTTTACTCGTTTAGTTTTCAAAGGCTAAATTCAGAGTGTGTGAAACATGCACAAACATAGTTACTCATTAAGCAGTGCAGATTAACTTTGCAAAAACTAGAAAGAATCATTCCTGGTTCGGTAAAAGAACAGATTAAAATAATGTTTGTGGAAATTCGTTATTTTCAGATACATTTTACAGCACTGTAAGAATTAGATACAAGTTTTCTTTAACATGCACTAAAAGATGACATTTTCCACATTCTTCAGTTTATGCACGGAAAATGTCATATTAAGCCATCAGTGTGGAAATATCATGCATATTTTAAAAGTAAATTATAGGCTTGGATTCAATATTACTGAGGACTTCCATGAATCTGTAATGCCTTAAATCAAAAATGATCTCTCTATTTAGACACCTTGTATATCCATTTTGGTGCCAAAATCTGAAATGTACAGAAATACTTAACACTTCTAAATTTCTCATGCATACGATCAATTGATGCTTGTCAGTTTAGATTTGAACTCATTTATACTTGGACTTTGAAAGCACTTTGACAAGTGAATACAAGCTAACAAACATATATATTAGTACTTTCTCCTACATTGACTCTTTCTCTGAGATCTGAGAGATTTCCTTCCTTTCGATATATTGCAAATTCAGGACTCTGGAGTACTGCTTCTGAGCGTGTCATCCAGCTATGGAGTTCTGTTGTATCCGAGTCAAACCTAAGATACAGAGAAGAGCAAGAAGAATTTCAGTTCAACATTTCTGACAATAGCATTAACAGCAGAAAAAGTTAACCAGCTGCTTAAAGAAATAAATAAGCATCAATAATTCCTCTTTGAAAAAGACACTTTAAAACCCACCATATCTGATTAGAAACCTCATAAAACTATTCACTCTAAAATCTGAAAACATACTCTTTCATTTTTAAGACACTGACTTGACAGCTGAACAGATGCAGCAGTTTTCAAATAAATGTTCCAATTTTACAAGCTGATGTTTTTGGAAGACATTAAAGAAGTGGCTCTCACAGTTGAATAAAGTGTATCACAAGCACTGTTGGCTCAGCTGAGGATGTGTGGCGTATCTGGCTCACAAAATGCAGCCTTTGTACCCGATAATTCTCTGCCTTAGTTTGTACTGCCTGCACTGTAAGGAAAAAAAGCAGGAAATTTGACCATTAGATTGGACCCTCTTCTGATTGACTCAAATTTGTTGCAGAATGTAATTACTAATCAAGAGGAGACTATAATTTTCCTACAGCTAGAACTTTTGGAAAACGGAAATTAAGATTCCTAATTCTGCATAAACTTTTTAAATGTTTTTTGCTGTAAAGCCCTTTTAATTATAATCTGGATTCTTTCAGAAACTCCTTTAAAAATAACCTTTATTGTTTCCTACTCAGAAAGGAGTAGCTCAAAATGAAGGTTACTGCATGCAAATTTTTCAGTTGCAGATGTACTAAAATAAAACCATAAGTTGATTTTATATCTATCCTGGTTTTTAAAGCAACAATCTTGAGATAATGTTTTTTCACTGAGTTGAATTAAACTGTAAGCTTGATTGCATTTCTTTATTGTACTTTGAGTTTCAATATTTATATCTAGTTTATAATTACTTTTCCTTTGGTATCAACACAGTAAAAGCAACAAAACAGAAGGATCTAGAACAGAATTAACTGAATATTGTAAACATAGGCCTTTTAATTTATGTAATTAAAAACGTACTAACACCAAGAACTTGGACAACAACTGCATCTTTGAAGAAATTAGATACTTTACAGAGATATACACCTAAATATAAAAGCTAAAACACAGAGCTGAAAGGTACTAATCTAGTGCTACAGAGATCAACATAAATAAGTGAAAAAACAGGACAGGAATTTCATGTCTGCCCAAATATATTTCTGTTCCCCTTTTATTTTTTTTCATTCTCCATTGTGATCCTTGTGACTATTTAACAGTAAGGTGTGAATGACTGAGTAATACATAATCAAAGCAGTAGAAAGAATCACACACTTCCCTAATCCAGCCTCACAACCTATATCAAAATTAAAACCTCTTAAGAATAATGTTTATGGAAAAATTGCTAATAATTCTATTTGCACACTCATTCAAGGAGGAAAAGATGATGGTGAGGCAAGGGAAGTGGCAGAGATCTTCATTTCATAGAGGACTATACATTCAGAGGCAGAATACAAAAGAAAATCTCTCTGATGGTTTACAGAATCTCTGTATTGGTATCAGGTTCTAATCCTCTAAATCAAATTGAACTGCCAGTGAAGAGATTCCTGCCTCCAAGTCTGTGCAACAGTAAATAAATTGTTATTCCTGAAATAGGATGTCATCATTTGTTCAGCGTATAATAGCTGTATATTTAATAAACACTGTCATGAAATTTTACAACTAGGACAACAAATCTATGAAAGCCAGTATTTCCACATAAAACCGGAATACTGTTTATTCAACAAATCGCAAGCACTAACTGCATACCTAATCGCACCAATAACTGCAGGAGAATACAAAAGCATGCTTTTGTAACTATGACTTATGACTGTTCAACACATCTTAAAATGGAGAACAACCAATTATAAAGCCAATGGATTGCATTACTAACAATTTCATAGCTGTTCCTACTGTGCTTTTGGATGTAAATTATTTATGTTCCATATCTAACAAAGATTGCCACCATCTCTGCCCAATGACCAGTGGTGTGAAGCTCTACCAGACAAGTCTGCACAAAGTAGTTAGTGAAGTCCTTAGTAAGAGCTTTATTAGGTCACTTAAATTAAAACAGATGCCTAAATGATGTAACCTCACTTGAAGATCAATAGGATACAACGAAGCATCCAAATGGAATGTATGCCTTTCCAAAATGATGGAGCAGTAATACCATACAATCCTATGTTTCATGAAATTATCTGATTCAGGGCTTGCCAGCACCAAACGAGAAACAGGAGAACCTGCTCTAAGGATCAAGACAGAATGTGGTCGGAGATTTATAGGTATTCAACTAGATGGGACTGCTGCCCTCTCCTCCTCTTTTTTGAAATTCAGCCAGCAGCATACCAAATACTCTTCAAGAATTAGCAGCCCACATTGGCAGAAGGGTTGTCACTCTGCTACCAAAGTGAACTCTATTCCTTGTTCCTCTCACAGCCAACAACTGTACAGGCAAAGGAAAAAATGGCCACTTATTTCACCTTCCTTAAATCTATAGATGTGGCCAGCTCTTCAGCCACCTATCCGCAGTTATTGTAATTAGGCTGTTCTATAGCACAGGTATGAAGAAGCTGTAAACTGGAGAACACAGAACATCAGATACAGGATAAAAACAAAGACAACTTTATCAGTTTATGGGTACTAAACTCTCTTGACAGCAGGTAAAACTGTCATACTTCTTTTGTTCATTCCATTCTGTGGTTGCAGTTGAATAGGAGCACTGAGAAAAACCTGCTAAAAAACAATGTGATATTTGCTAAAGAATAGTCTGCTATTAACTTGGTATAGCATGGAAAATGACAGAGCAAAATGTTTACAAGAGATCATTTCTTCCTTTCTTTAAAAAACGGACTTAGTCTCTTCCTCTGCAACATCCACCCCTGAAAGTATAATACAGAAGAGTTGAAAATTTGGGAGTGTTTTGATAGAATAACAATGATCAGGAAAAAACTACATGGCTGAGATTCATCAGGTGTCGTAAGTATTAGCCCCCGCGGATACATCTGGACAGAACAGATCTCAGATGCAGATGACAGATTGTTCTGTCAGTTGTAGTTTCTTCTGTTTAAGTAAATATAACTCCACAAACAAAGGTGGTTTTTTTGGGAGGGGGAGGGGGCGGGGGAAAGTTTAAAGGCATATTGCACATTTCAAGAGCCTTGGAAAAAAATCTCATATTCCGCTTTTTTAAAAACAGGAAATGCAGGTAGAATATGGCATTTAATCATTGTGCTAGGACGACTGGGTATTTCATTTCTGAGTTGTTTAAGTTACAAAGTACAGTAACTCCAGATTGATATATTTGATCAATAAGGTCTTTAAATCTCATAAGTACAGCAATATATTTGGCATTAAAAAAAGTAATGAAATATTGCATTTCTGACCCAGTAAAGTTGGGTGCGTGTAGAATTTGTTAAAATAAATCCATCAAAGGGAATAAAACCACACCACTTGACACAATCACTCCAGATAATTACCTCAGTATAGAGTAGACGTAACCTTGCTGCCCAGCTAAAATTTCAACCCACAGAAGAGCGTTTAGTGCCTCTAAATTCTTTATGGAGTGCTCATGCTTTAGTTTTCAATTAGTTTGTCTTTCTGCTATTCCACAGCAGAGATACGATCCTATACTGCCCTCATGGCACCCTCATAGCCCCACACATCTCTTACAATAACTCATTTTCTTAATCATACTAAACACAGGCCCACTGCAGATTCCCATTCACAGCTCTCTTGCATAGATCACAGATCATAGCATACAAAAGATTTGTTCAAAAAATTACTCCTTCTTCTCCTGGGTTTCCCTTCCAGTACAGGACAATCTACATCTTTAAGTATTTCACAAGTTAGTTACATTTTTTTCCGTTCATGGAATTCCTAGCTAAATATTCAGCAAGGAATATCTCGCAGAATTTTCTGGAAGCAGCCTGAGTAGAGAGCAGCTCCATTCCTGGGCAGCCTGTGACTGAGGAGGTCACCTCTCCCCTCAGCATGTTATCGGGACTGAGTGCCTTGTCTCAGTAAGAGCCAGGCTCCACTGGAGCTATGTCCTCTTCTTGGCTTCATATTCCTGGATATATACACTGGTCCCATATCATTCTCACCATTTCTGGGAGCTGAGTAGTACAGAGTGCTTTTGGGGAAAGGTGGGTGTTTCGCCTTTCCTGCTCAGAAGTTGTGACATACCACACGGAAGCAAAGAGCACTGGGATGGGGATGGGCTTTGTCTCACTAGAAGAAGCCACAAACATTTTCTATTTTATGCCATAGCTATTAAATAAGAAATTTATGTTTTAAGTTTCCTGCAAAATAGATGAGTTCCTCCCAATATTGTGTGGGAGGAACTCTACCTATGCTAAGAAGCTTAAAATTTCACTTTTTGATTGCAGTAACTTTTCATTTTGTTGTGCTACTTATCCTTCTGCAGTTTGAGGCAGGTAAGGAGAATTTGTGCTGAGTAATCTCATCCTCTAGACTCCCTCTTCTTTCACCATTACTGGAGGATTTCAAGATGTGACTGAATTGGGTGCAAGATAATCTCATGTAGGCTCTTTTGCCAAAAAGATTCGACATGATGATGTTTTGAAGCTCATTCCAACCTCACCCGTTCTATTCTGTGATCATCTAGCAGAAGAATGGTATATTTTAACGGTATATATAATGGTATATATTTTAATCACAATGGTATATTTTAGACTTGTATTTTTCATCTGTTTTACACACACTACCATGGTAATTTTCTCTCATTTTGAATGACATTCTGGACCTCCTCTACACCTGTGATACTATTCAGTTTAGCTTCATCAACATTATTATCTGCACATTTCTGCAATACATATTGAGGCATCAAAGAAAATAATTAATCTTTTTAATCTCATAGTTCTCCTTCTTTAGACACTCTTCCATGTTACCTTTCTCATAGTAATAAACCATACTTTCTCCAGCCTTAGCATTTATGCCTTAACAGTGTAATGGAATGCTTTGATTAAATTCAGACAGATTAGATGCACCACATTTCTCATATGTGAGAGAAAAGAGCTGAGGAGAATGAAAGTCTAGAGGCTGCTGTGTTCATTAACACCATTTGCCTTCAGCAAACAGCCAGTGGCTAGAAATGTAAAGCATTTTTAAATGCAGTCATGCCTCCCTTTGAGTGCCAACAGGTAACACTTCCATAGTACAACAGGCAATACCAGGCACTAGATGTGAAGAATGTATATTCTCAGTTTATTAGTAACTTATGCCACTTCTTGCCATACAAACGGGATCAAGAGTAAAAAAAAAAAAATAGTGGACATGAAGTTTTAAAATACATACATTCTCAGAACTTGATATATCCATAGTTATTCTTCATTCTAGATTAAAACATTTATGAGTTGTTCATTCTTTCATTGTTCATTGAACAGAAAACTATAATCCTTTGTCTCTGGCACCTTTCTCTTTTCTCTGGCATTGGCTACACAGATACAATGCTAGTACAAGGACTATCCAGAAAACTGAATAAAAATGGCACTCATCTTTCTAGATTTGCTAAGTACAGTTAAATGATGGTGAAAGAGCAGACACTGCATTTTTATAAGTGGACAAGGACAATAGCCCAGCAGAGTTCCTGTAAAAGTGCTTAGCAATCATCATTTAGTTCAGACTATATAATTCTGTACTGTAGTGGACTGCTTGAAAGAAATAGTAGCAGTGGACTACCTGGAAAAAATCTTTAAATACTTCATTGTAATTTTTCCCTCAATACTTTTCTATTAAGAAACAAACAAACAAACAAACAAACTGAAACTTTTCTAAGTGAGCATTAGAGCCTCAAATACAATATTTTTAATGAAATGAAGGCCACTTTATTTTCAACAGATTTATAGTTTTGTTAACAGTTATTAAATGTAAAACACTAGATGGAGCAACTACCCTGCCTTAATATACCTCTGTCTTCAAAGGACATGGTATCTTTCAAATCTGAAGAAGAACATTATTTTCACAACAATGTTATGACAGACATTCCTTGGAAATATTAGGATGCATGTACAAAGTTACTTATTAACTGAAAAAGAAAGATATCTTGGGTATTATTAAGGAACAAATGTATTATAATTACATATAAATTAAATGATAAAAAGCTCTACTCTGCTTCCTATTTAAAAACCTATTCTAAATTGAATAATTTTCAGATTTTTCTATGCTGCAGAACTGACTTATGTTTTTTTCTAGTGCTATGTCAGTGAAAATAACACCTTGGCAAACCTTTCACCTATATACAGGTTTTTCTACCCAAAAACTTAATGCATGTTACATGTACCTCAAGGCCTAATGTCTTACAGTGCTTTTAAGACTTCTATACAGCTCTAAGTATATATATGCATTTTTTCCATTCTTGGATGTAAATAAATTCAAAAAACAAAAGTCAGAATATCCCTGAATTATCCTGAAGTTTTAAAGCACTAAATTAGAAGGCAGCTTTAGATTTTGGTGAAGGAAAAAAAAAAAGTCTCCGACTTCTTTTCTCTGCTTTCCATTACTCATGGTAGTAAGTTGCTGTAGGAGGAAAGAAAAAAACAACAGCTTCTTTACTATGCATTTAGGCCACAGCGAATTGGCACAGTGGAAATATGAAATCAACTCCTGTTTACGCAGGTCTACAGAGTCTTAAGAATTAAATTCCTCAGAGTAAACGAGGCTCGTACACTTTAATTCTTTCAAACCAGTTAGAAAATAAAATTTAATAATAATTTAAAATTTGCCATTTTTTTCCTCAACTAAGCAGCTGTAGAATCCTTTGCAGTATTCACAGAGCAGCTAAACTAATCTTCTACCTTGAAACTAAGCACCTAGCACTTCAGTGCATCTTTGAGAAATCTTTCTTAAATTCACAAAATGCAGAAATCAAATTTGGAGCACACTTTTTTTTTTTTTTTTTTTTTTTTTTCCAGAATGTAGCAACGCAGACTGATGCCTACAGCTAGAGAAGTACTGAGGAATGAAGGTGAGAAAATGTGGAAGTATCATTCACCCTCATCAAAAAAAGCCCCAAACCACCTTCCTCCCAGAAGAAACTACGCAGATTCAAAATATTTTCAAATTGAGACTTTGAAGATAATATTCATTTCATCCAGATTTAGCCATTTGAAATTTACTTGTTTAGTTTAGTAAAGAAAATAATTTGCTGCTGTAATTGAAGACATGCTGAACTAAAAAGACATTTTCTACAGGAATAAGATATTGACTGTAGTTTCAGATTCCTCTCAGTCCTTATGTCCGCTAGCTTGGAATTCATATATTAATCTGAATATGTACATATATACATACACACACACAAACACATATTTCCAAAACTACCACTAAAATTAGAGTTTTAAGTCTTGCTTCTAACATCATATTCTTAAGTTCAGTGCTTGAGACAATTTTACTCTTTAGAAGTCTTTCTTGTGACTTTAACAAGTGTTCAGTATTATTCCAAAGTCCACTATAACTTGTATGAGTTACACAGAAAAAACATTGAAAATCACAGTATTACACATTTCACCAAATAGTAACCCTGCCTCTCGATAACTGAAAAGAATAAAACCTGAACTTTGGAAATGAAGCACTACTTGCAGTCCAACTACTAAAAACATAAATTCTTTAAATTTTAAAGAATTTAAAAAGGTGAAAACTTTCTTTTCTCCAAGTCACACATGCCCTATGCAAAATATACCTACTGAGTGCAGTTACTATCATAATGACATTGACATAATGATTAACATTCTATACTACAAAATAGTTGGGATAACACAAAAAAATCTCTATAAGTTATCCTAAGTAAGGAAAGGTAACAGTGAGTTGGCATTTGAGTACAGAAATAGCATTTTAATTTCAAGAAATTCTGCACAGAAATATTGCAGTCAGATGACTAATTTGGCATTCTCACCCAACTTTATTATTATTCTCTCTCCATGTCTAAATGATTCTCACCTCTTCCTAATTTCTGAATCCACAAGGAGTTGCCTCTTTTTGTGAGGAGGTGGTGGTGGGAGCTCCTCTTTAGCATGCTTAACCAGGATTTGTTCCCTTGTGGTCACCATAGTGACAGTTTCCATTACAGTAGTCTGTGTTAGTGATGTCTGAGTGGAAGTGACAGCCTGCGAAACCTGTGAGAAGTATTAAAGCAGAGGTCAAACATTGTTTGAAAGATTTCAGTAAAGATCGTTTGGAATAGCAATAGAAAAATAATGAGAAACTGCTCCTGTCTAATCATCGGCTGACCTTCAGAAAAAAATAACATTATACTGAACTCAAATCAAACTGTTTTATTTGTCTCATACTATGTGATTAAGGTAACCGCAGAAGTCAATACCAAAATCAGACTGAATCTCAAACAGAATGAACTTATGGCTTGCTCTTATAAAATGGTGAATGAAGAAAATAAATAAATGGGAACAAAAAGGTCAATTTTATAAAGAAATTGAATAAAGAAAATGTGTGAAATATTACCACTGCTGTTATTCCGCTGCCATTCTGAAGATTTATTCCTGAGGACTCATAAAGCATTATGATGTCACTAAATTACTAGTTGCTATTTTTACCCTTTATAATAATCTTTAAACGAGAACATAGTTCATCACAACCTACTTGCACAAAAAGGCAGTTAGCTTTCTGTCATGAAATCTTAAATTAGAAAACATGCACTAGAAGACAAGTAAATTTACTTCCATTTCATTTTATAACTAAAAACTAAAAGGAAGAAGTAGTAAGAGACAGCAAAACTCAAATATGTAACATGTACATAACATAATGCATTTACACCAATAAAATGCATTTTATACTTTGCAGGGAAAAATGAAAACTAACTCCTAAAAAAGTCCAGTTGCATTAAGAAAAAAAGAAGTGGGATGATAAACAGTACTGTCTGCTCATATCTGTCAGGATGATCTTGTAGGTCTTTTCCAACCTTGGTCATGCTATGATTCACAGTTCCAGTGACACCTGAAAACGGTTCAGGGCAGTGAAATGGAAAATAAAAGGAAGACTTTTACATCAGGTGCAGGCAAAGCTGCGTACCAGACAAGCACTGCTTCTTATTTTATTGCTAGCATGCAATAATTACAAAGGTCTACCAACAGAGAGACAAGAACATTAGTACCTAAAATTTCACAGTACAACATATGTAAATAATCTATTAGTTCTTGTATCAGAAACTAGTGACAGTATTGAGTAAACTTTACTTGAGACATCAGTACTTCTAAAAAACACTGAAGATGCATACTAGGTATTTAACTGCAGCTCATTTCCCACTTCCTGCGCATACTGAAAAATTAGAATGATGAGGAATGAGGCGTGCTGTTAGCAACTAGGCTTCTTTTCAGCAGGCAACACTGGTAAAGTTAACAAAAAACTGGAAGAAAAAAAAAAATACTGCTTGCTTTGCTGAATATTTCATGCAGCATGCTGAACAAAGAAGTCTTGCTGATCTTTGTCCGGTCTGCCAGTGAAAATGATGGATAGGAAAGTCCACGTTACTGTAGTTTTGGCAATCTCATTTAAAGCAGCCAACTCAGTGCTGTGCTTTTCTCTATATAAAGTACAGCAGTCTGAACTTCAGAGAAAAATCTGAACAAGTCAGAACACTACAAAATCAAGATTCAAAGCGGATGTTTTCTAAAATCCTTGGATTAATCATATCAATTGTAGTAAGCTGTTTGTGAACTGTGACAACTTAGTTAACATATGAACTACATAAATTATGGGGAAAAAATGCCACTTTTTATCACTACAGTATTATCTATTAATATCCTTGGTTTCGTTCCCTCAGCAAGATGTGCTGACTGATATTTTCAACTACAGAAATCTCCAGTATAAGGAAACACTTCAGCTTAGTTTTATTAAGATTTAATACAGCATTCTTTGCAACATTTTTAAAATTAATTTTATTTCTGGACAGAAAGAAAGAGCATGTTAAAGTTTCTGAGATCTAGGGTTCTATGCAATGTGAGGATAACATCTGTTCCTTGGTTGTCTCTGCAGCTAAGAGCACTCCAAATCCTTCCTTGCTCTGTATATACAGCTCTGACTTCAACCTCCTTTTCCTCTTCTCACTGTATTCTTTTTGCACTCAGTTTTATCTAAAAGTCGATGATAGGATGTTTCTGACACTTGAGGTCACATCCTGCCATGTTCCATTTCCCAGTCAATACCAGGGTATAGTCTACACTGAAGCAAGTGTAAAACAGAATAAATCACACCTAGGGTACTGTAGGAATCATCTGCAGCACCCTACCAATTACACAGTAGCAGCAGTTCCAGCTGGTGATTTGGAACTGTGCTTCAAACGCAGGCAGTGTAATTACCATATGCTCAGAGCAGTCAAGTCACGATGCTGTTGGGAGTAATGATTTACATGTCAAAACAGTAAGGAAGTACTTTTCATGCTTAATCAATAGGAGTAGAGGTTAAATACTATATATTTCAAAATGAAATTGCAGAGATGAGTTTGATGTTCATAATCATTCTAATTACAGAGAAGGGGGAAGGCTAGAAAGTACTGAACACCACATTGCAAGGTGAAGTTCAGCAAAATGGTACACATTTTAAAAATGCACATACTAGAGGGTAAAGGAAAATCCTTAAAAATATAAGAAATTAGCACTGAAATGGTTTGTTTCACTTATAATTCAAGGACAATCCAAATAATGACAGTACAGTTTCCTTGTCTCTTTAAGTTTGTGAGAGGCATATATGAATCTGAGGAGTGATACAGACTGGGCCGTTAACCCACTAGAAAATCATACTGGAAGTGCTAAGGTGACTCACAAAGCTGCACTTTAAAAGGCTTCCAAAATACAATGCTTGCCTTCAGTTTCACATCAGTAAGCTCATCTTAGAAACATGTTAAAAGTCATCTTTTTTTTTTTTTTTTTTTTTTTTTTTGAATGGACACATTTCAATCTTCCTTTTCATCTTCTGCAGATAAAGGTATATACAACGTGTGTGTAGTAGTTGAGTAGTTTTATGATGTTTTATTTCTCTTTTATATGGCAGCCTACCTTTAATGACATCATTTATTGCTGCCTTTGGAAATGCCCTGAGTCTTGATATAGTCATAATTTTCCTTAACACTCGCTTTTGGAGCTGTCATGAGTTCTTTGATAAAATGTATGTATGCAAGTAAGGAAGCTCAGATGAAGAATGGCATTTTCTTTACTTTGGGAAGATTTTCAGTACAATGTAGTGAAGCATAATGAGCTCACTCAAGGGGAGTTTAGAGTTTCTAAAAGTTATACATCTACTCTATAAAAGTTGTCCTTGTCCTTGTTTCCAGTGTGTGTTCAATGAAAAAAAAAAACAGGCACTTTCATGATGAAAATAAACTGCTTTTGAGGGGTGCCAGTCTCTCTCATCTATGCCATCCATCGCAGAAGCAGCTTCAGCCATGAGTTCAGACTGGATGCTTCAAATTCACAGCAATGAATTACCTAAACGTAGGAAGACTTGCATTCTACTTTATGCACATTCCTTTTGGGATTTATAACTGTTCCATGTATAACTAGAGAATCAGCTTTGATCTAAGGCTGAGATATCCATATAATTTCTTATTTTGCTAGCCAGTTAATCATTTAGTGACACTTTAGTAAGAGAGAGAGAGGAAATATGATAAAAAAATACAGTTAAGAAGGTACTATGAGAATCATTAATGAAACAAAAAAGTTAATTTTGAAGTCTGTACTCATGTTGAAAGAATAAAATCTGCATTTTCTAATGATTTCGGAGAAAAATTATATATTAACTGTTACCATCTTCTCTCCTCTCCAGTTCACAATTAGATGAAATAAGTAGATGTTCTAGAGGCATTTTCTTCTTGTCTGTTCATGTAAATAAGCTCCATAACAAATAGAGCACACCAACAATATCTGCCCTGCCTAGGTAGAAACACATGGCAATAAGTACATTATTATTATTTTGTAGTGCAGAGGTAAATGCAAGGATATACCTCAAGTGTGTAACAGCACTTTAGAGTTAGCACTGAATATCAAATATCTCCAGAATTTGAAGCAATATGCCCACATGAGCATACCAGCTCTCCGCCAAGCAAAGTTGCTTCTCCTCAGAGAAGTGTGGCATTATGATAACACTGTTACACTTGTTTGGGTTTTGGAAACCCAAATAATCTCCCACCTGTGCTCCATTATGATTTATGGATGTACAGCCTCAGGTGTTCACAAGAAGACTGGTTTTGTTTTGTCATCTTGGTTCCATTTTCAAAATTGAACTTACTTGCTTTTAGGACTAATTAATAATCTAAACGTTTTAATATTTTGGACTGTTTTCAAAAGCTGTGTTTATTTTTTCCCAACCCATCGTGACTGCAGGTTTTAGAAATTTTATGGATATAAGACACCAGCAGCCTTTATTATATACCTACCAGATAGTACTCTACAATCTCTTCAGGAGGATGTAGAGTATTAATTGAAACATGTTTTTTAGCCTATTAACACGAACGTGTCAAAATAAATGAAGATATGCATCCTTCAAGGAGTGTAGATGAGTATACAAAAGGAGGATTTAAGCTACCTTCCAATTAAACTTTCAAACTGACTTTAAAAAGTTTTCATGGAAAGTGTGGGAACTCACATAACATTATGAATACATGTTTTAAATATTGGTCTTACAATGAAGACAAATTAAGACATCTATGCTACTAATATGGTTTTGAAAAAGAAATTAAGTAACAAAATATGAATGAAGACATTATTTATAGAAGTACATCAATGTAATGTCTGTATTATCCAGAACACTGATTCTCAAAGAACAGTTTATAGGACATGGACAGTTTGTAATAGATTAAGCAGCCTCTTCATGGTTCCTTTTTCCCTGTATTCATTGCATGTGTTTTATGCAATTTCTACTTCTCTCACTTTGGTAGGCAGCTTAGTCAATTCTAGCACACATAGTTTATTTAATAAAACTTTAACATGCCTGTAATTCCTGTTGTTATGACTCATTCTAGTATTATGAAATAATAGTAAATGAGAAAAGTTATGACACTGTCAAAATCAGAGAGGTTAAAGTGTTGATTACTAGCAATATTTTACAAATATATGAGAATAATAAAACATTTTGAAGCTTGAATAGTATTGTTATTTAAAAGAAGCTACCAAGCTCCTTTTTACATATGCAAGAACACGTACCTGAATAACATAAGTATCATGTAGGCTGTAATTAATACTGTTCTACAGTATTTGCCCCTTTTATGAGACATGACAGTTGTAGGCATCCATGAAGAAGTACTAAATTCTTGAAATCACATGACCCAAGCTGTCCCAAATTCAAAACTCTGGATTTTCTTTTGTGTAAAAACTACATGTTCCTTATTGTAAATATTCATTTTCAGTACTTTTATTACTACTCAAATAACTGTCATACAAAAATAACATAATATAAGAAAGTGGAAGAAAAAGTGATCAGATATGGTTTTGAATCAAACAAGAGAGAGATGTTGACAAATGGCTAGGAAAGATGAAAGGATACATTTTTGAATATTATACCAGAGCACTTAGTTTTGTTATCCAGTTAATAAAATGAGAAATTTTAAACCACATTTTATTTTTTAATATTATGGTAAACAGAAAGGAGCAGGATGGAATAGTAACAAATAACGGCTTATTTTTCCCTCAGGCATTTGTGCCAAAAGGACAGTTTTCTTTATTTTTTCAAGCTTCTCTTTCTGTGGCCTTTTTTTTTTTTTTTTTTTTTTTTCTTTTTAATATATGAAAGAGTTAAATATAAGCAAAATTAAAAATGTAACCATAAAAGCACTGCTGAAAATAAATAAAAATAGTAGTTGTTTAGCTAGTGAACAGTTTTTAACACTAATTTCAGACTGTTATTCCACAGACAGCCATAAAAACAGCACATTTGAAGTGACTAACTATTACAGATTAAAAATAAACTAACTGAATATTTCCATTTTGGATTCTACCATCCCTGAAAGCACAGTTAAGAACCTGAGTAATCAACATAGTGACGACAGACAAAAAAATTAAAGAGATACCTAACATTCTGGGGTTATATTGCAGTTGTATCATGCTATCCTAAAAATTGTGTCTTAAGAAATCACAAAAGAAAAAATAAAAAAGTAACAAACAGCACCAAAACTACTGCAAGCATCTGACTGGCACAGGATTTGAGTGTCAACAACTGACAAAACAGTTTGACGAACCTGCTTAGAATTGCTCTCCAACTTCTGCACAAGGCTATCCCAGCGCTGGGCGAAGTTTTCAAGTCGGCTTTCCAGCTTCTGAGCGACTGCTTTATTTTTCACAGCTACATGGAGGTCTTTGCTGAGTGACTTCAGCTTACTCATCATTTGTCTTTTCATTTCTATATCTCCTTTTAGGATCTGTTAAACAAAGCAACAGCAGGAAGACAAATAATTCAGACAGAAGCAAAACAAACAAACAAACAAACAAAAAACACCTTAGAAAGAAAGGAGCACCTAGAAGGTGCCCTACAAAATCATAGAATTGCCCTAGTTGGAAGAGACCCAAAAGGATCATTAAGTTCAATTCTAGGCAGCGCAAAGCACCACCCAAAATTCTAACTCTGTGTCTGAGAGCACTGTCAGACACTTCTTGAACTCCAGGAGTTTGGTACTGGGCCCACAGCCCACACCCCCAGCTGCTCCTCCCCTGACGCAGATCCATGCCATTCCTTCTGTCCCTTTCTCTGTGAGGAGCTGCAACGACCATGAAGGCTCCCCTCAGCCTACTCTGCTCTGGGCTGAACACACCTAGAGACCTCATCTACTTCTCATATGTCTTGCTCTCTGTATCCATCACCATTTTCGGAGCCCTCACTGCAGGATCTCCAATAGTAGTTTTATTTTCTTCTTATACTGAGATGCCCAAAACTGCACCCAGTGCTGGAGGTGAGGCTGCAACAGTATAGAGCAGGGAGGGGCAACCCCTTTCCTTGACCATTTGGCAACGTTGATTTTTATACATTCCAGGGTACAGTTGGCCATTTTGGCTGTCTGGGCACACTGCTATCTCAGGTTCAACTTGCCATCAGTCACACCCCCCACGTACCTCTCTGTGGGCCAGCTCTTCAGCCTCTCATCCCCCACTGAATGCATGCAGCCAGGGTTCCCCATCTCAAGATAAAAATTTGTGACTTGCTTGTGTTAAATTTCATGCTTTTGGTGATTGCCCAGCCCTCCATTTGTCAGGATCTCACTGCAAGGCCTCTCTATGCTCAAGGGTATCAACAGCTCTGCCCAGTGTAGTAACATATGCAAACTTTTCTAAGTATACCTCAAAGTCTTATATTCAACACTGACAAAAACATTAAAAATAACTGGCCCTAAAACAGAGTCCTAGGGAACCCTACCAGTCACTGGCCGCCAATCTGATGTAACCCCATTTTCTATAACCCTTTGAGCCCAATTGTTTACCCATGTATTTGACTAGCTGGACATTTTGTTCAAATGGATACTGTAAAAAACAGTACTGAAAGCTTTAATGAAATCCAACAAGATTACATCCATTGGCTTCCTTTGGTAAAGAAGGGAAAATGGGCAAGAATGTTTTTCACAAACTCCAATACCTCTGCGCTGTTGTACTGTAAAAACTGCTGGTGAAGCTGACATAGAGGAATGGACAGATTGCACTTCATAAAGCAATATAAAATGACAGGTGGAGCAACTCCAGACACAAAAGCTTGCTTCAGGTAGTGATATAAATAAAAAAAAACTAACAGCTGTGTGGCTTTATAACCTTTAAACTGCATGAATATTAACAACTATATCAACATTTCAAACAAAGGTTCTTAAAAGTTTTGTGGTATTTTCCATACAAAGCATATTAAAAACAGGGAGGAAAAAAAAAAAAAAAAAAAGATTTCTAGAAAAATATTTAATCCCTAAGTATGATGAAAAAAATGAAAGCACTGAAGGAAAATGACAGGATCATCTCAGAGGTCTTTTCCAAACATGCTAATTCTATGACTCTACAAAAATAGCTTAGTTCTGTCAGGACTGGAGAACCATATATTCTGCATCTTTCTGAGATCTTGGCTAGCCCTGGTTATGCAGCAGTCGTATCTCCTGAGGAGTCCAGAAGTCTGGCGAGTCCTGGAAGCTCTATTGAATGTGCAAATGACACAGCCAACCAGCTGAGAACCTGGAAACTCCAGTGTACAACCTCTTTGAGTCAGCATTCAACTGGAAGGCAAACCTACTGATCACTACCACCTAATACTCTCTTGCGATAGTTTCAAATAACCTGTACAACCATACTGGAGGATTCTGTTTTCACATTCTCTTACTGAAACTTGTCAGTGTTTTATACCAATGAACACATTTTAGTTTTGATTTTTTCCAGTACAGGAAGAGACCTTGAGCTAACAACATTTGTCATTTAGCTGTTGGCAAGAGAATAAACAGGACTGTTTGATTTTTTAAAACTAATTATCAAATAATTCAGTCATAACTTCTATCAAGTGCATATTGTAAACTCCAGTATTGGAACATCATAAATGTTCAAAAGCAATTTCTTTACTTCTGAATATTGCATTTTCATAAGTTTATTTTCAAATTTTTACTGTAGTTATTGTTTCGCTTTTTTAAAACATTGCCAAAAGCATTCTTTAATCCATGTAATATTCTAATGAGCAACAGATGTTGTAAAATAACTGTTCAGTTTCTGAGAGATTTATTCTAGTAAGAATTAGTGTCAACAAAGTGTCTTATTTATTTCTTCTAAGAAGAAATTTGCATTAAGTGAAGTGAAAATCTAAACATATGTTAATTGAATTAATAGAATTCATTTATTGAATTAACTCTTCACATATCTTTTTTCAGTAGATCTCAGCATGTTTTATGAAAAAGAGTAACACCACTACCTTTATTTTAGAGGCTTCAAAATTAAGTGCAGGACATGCGAAAAAAAATGACCTTCGCTTCACTGCAAACTCCTTTGTGGTAATTGTAGAGTGCAGTAAGGTCTTCCCTGAGCTTCCTTTTCTCAAGGCAAAATAACCTTAGTTACCTCAGCTGCTCCTCATAAGACTTGTTCTCTAGACCATCATCAGCTTTGTTGCTCTTGTCTGGACACAAATTTCCTTTTTGGTATATTTCCAGCAAATTCTGGAAGGTACCAAACTAGCCGTTTTTTATTTGACAAAATAAGTAATAAAAGCTGTTCAAAGAGAAGACTTTAGTTCCTAGTTACAGTAATAATCTACCCACTTTAACGAAATCATAGACATGAATGTTTGCTATCTACTGCATGCATAAAAAACTGTTATTTTGCATAAAACAATGCCTAACAATTTACTTTCTTTTCAAATGTCCTATTGCTATAGAACCATTTCCAAGCCTAGGATGTGCCAAGTATCACATCTTTACAGAAAGGCATACTTCTAAGCCAATCTGAATGACATTCTTTCCATAAAGACGATGAATTCTAGAGTATTTTATGAAGAATGAGGTAGAATATGTGGTGAAAAGAGTATATTTTACATATGTAAGTAGATTGCTGTAACACAGGGATGGTTAAAAGATAGCACTAATTCAATTCACAAACTTTTGACCAAAGAGACAACCTAGAAGCGTATCTGTCCTTATCGAGTACCTTATCAGCAATACCATGAACCAATTAATTACTCACACAGAAGATAACATCCATTCTCAGAAAAAGAAATACATATTCCATTAAATCATATTGTCTAAGAGAGGATAAAACCACTCACACACTGATTCATGAGTGGAAAAACTGAGAACAATATAGGTCAATAAAAAATACATACAGCTAATTTGCGTAGACTAGTCAGCATCTCATTTTCATCTTTAAAGTCACTTGTCTGGATTTTGCTAAGTGCATCTTCTTTCTCAGTAAGCCACGCATCAAAAAGGCACTGAAAGAAAATTGGAGAGAACAAGATGAAACAGCCCCAGTTGGGACGTTCCTAGTACAGTTTCAGGAAGAACATTTCAGTTTGTAACTACTAACAATACTCACCTGCTCTTCTGCAAAGTGCTGCCATTTTCTAAGAATATCTTGCAAAAGGACCCATCGATCTTCTGTCCATCTGCAGATGGCTGCCCACCGGCTTCCAAAGTGCTAGAAAGAAAGAAAAAAATAATACAATAAATGTTCATTTATACGTTTTAAAACAAAGGAATCTGATCTTCCTATGCCCTTATAAATTTTTTTGAAAATATTTTGGTAACTCACTTTTTATAATTTTACGTTCTTAAAATACATTTCACTGAAATAGATTTTACCACCGATTGAGATAAGACTCAAATGGAGAGAATAGGAAAAGTAACAGAGCTGGAAAGAAGGAGAAAATTTTAATACTAGTATAAAGACATATTTTTCCATTAAATCTCCAATACTATGCTCTCTCTCTCTCTCAAAAAAAGAAAAAAAAGAAAAAAAAAATCTGATTTATTTTCTCCTTTACAATGTTGTCATAGGAGAAAAAAATCCTAGAAGCTAACATTAGCATACATTTACATACACATGAGGTTTTCTGTATACTTATAGCATACGCATTTTAAAACTGTGAAAAATGCTATGTTGTTCTCTTTTATTTATTTTAAAGAAAACATTACCACATTATTTAGTTTTCCTATTAGTCTTCATTGAAAAAATGCCTGGTTAGGACTACAGCTGTGATGATGCATGTTACTATAAAACTTCTATTGCAACAATCTACAATAATTTTATTACACTTGAGCACCATATGCAAAATTTTCAGCTCCTCCCAAATAACAAGTCTTTTAAAATCTGTAGAATACAGGATATTAACGTATATTATTTTCCACCTATTTCTATTGCATATGTATTAACAAAAGGAAAAATAGTTGTTTTTCCCCCATTTTCTTATTTGTTCATATTTTTCATTTTCATACTTATTTTTAATAGGACTATGATTTAATTTTGGCAAAAAAAAATTCAAAAAACGAATTTTTGAAATGGATTAAAATGATACATCTAATTGAATTATATATAGAAGAGATATTTCTCTACTTTCTATCAAGAATGTAAATTCTATTTTGTACTTCCTAGGAACTGAATGGTAAATCTACAGGTTACTTGAATTTGTGGCATTAACGATGTTATGTCCAAGTAAAAAGTAAGCAGATTCCATATATTTCACTCACTGAAGGTTCAAGCCATAATAAATCTTACAGATTAAAAAAAAAAAAAAAAAAGTGTTTATGGTGACATTCAGTCTGATCATATTAGATAATTGCTCAGTTTAGAAGACTGAAAATCATCTCTGATCAGCAACCGCAATAAAGCTAAACCATGACACAGCTCAACATTGTTGCAAACTGATAAGCATCCCATTTCAGCCACTCACTTTATTACGAAGTAGGTTTTGAGAAAGTAGGTTTTGAAAAGAAGCTTTTTTGTTTTCTTTAGGCTTAGCATTAAGGATCATGGTTTTCATTTATATTTGGAATTATATAATGGGTACTTATTTTATTTCCTAATTAGACCTAGAGCAAACTCAATTTTTCAAGTCTAAGAACCACATTTATTTTATATTAAAACAAATTTTAGTGTAAATTTGTCATTAAAAAGTGATCAAAAACTTCCAATTCAAAGAAAGACACAAGGAAGTTCAAGTTATGAACATGAATATTTCAGAAAGCTTATTTCCATATCAACAGAAGTAATTACTGGTGAAAGACTTTTGCCCTCAACAATGAAACAGTAAAATATTTTACTTGCTCATTTCACTCATTCATCATCAAATGATTTTGTCAAATTCCATGATACAGAACAGTTGGGGAAAAAAAAAAAAAAAAAGAAAAAACACCTGACAACCAGCCAAAAAAATTAATTATTAAAAAAAAAACACACTAATCTTCCCTTTATTGAAAATTATTGTTCTCAACTCTTTCAAAGGGTAGATAACAGTAGCACAAGAGGAAACGGTTTTAAGTTGAAGGAGGGAAGATTTAGGTTGGATATCAGAGGGAAGTTCTTTACAGAGAGAGTGGTGAGGTGCTGGAACAGGCTGCCCAGAGGGGTTGTGGATGCCCCATCCCTGGAGGTGCTCAAGCCCAGGTTGGATGGGGCTAGTATTAAAGTTGGAGGCTGGCGACCCTTCCTGTGGCAGGGGGTTGGAGATCCAGGATCATTCAGGTCCTTTTCAACCCAAGCCATTCTATGATTCTATGCTTGCTAATTACTAGTTCAGAAATCACAAACACACAGTCCAGATGCTTCTTCTTTGAAACTGTCTTTCCTTATAATTCCCGCAATTCAGAGTAATTATTATTAGTCAACTACTAATAACATTGTAATGATTCAATAAAGTTATATGAAGGGCCTGTTTGTCATTACTTAGCAAGGTCCAAGTCAAAATACTACGCCCATTTTTCCCCACTAACATAGGATAAAAATCTATCTATTTTTAAAATCTCTATATACAGATGGTAAGGTGAGCCACATTTGGTTGCTTTGGTGCCTCATGGTCTGATTTACAACAAAGTTTCTGAATCCTAATTATAGACTACATTTTTAAAATAAACTTGAAAATTTTACTAAAAGATTTATAAATCATCCCAAAGACCTACAGCAAAACTTCTGGCACCTCTGATTTAAATCAGTGTTGTTAGGAAATTCTTCTCATGACCAGACATGTCTTCGTTGCTAATACAGATTTAGATCTAAATAAATTACACAGCAGAAAATTAAATCATAATTAAAAGCATTTCAAGCTGATACAAACTCTGATAGTCCAGTACTTATATGAGACAAATGGTAATACATGAGATGCACTGAAAAATCTTATTTTTAAAAAATTAGAATTTGATTTTTATTCTCTTCCTAAATGCTGGTTAAACAATATAAATATTTCCTTTTCTAACCTCCTTTCAAGGAGAACAGCCTAAGTATTCCCTGTTAGAACAGAAAGCAAACTAAAATACATGTAAGGTACGTTCCCTGTCCCCCCTTCCCTTCCCTCCCCTCTAATAAACTCATTGATTTGCGCACTAGGTAACATATTGGTCAGTGCATAATGCTTATTTCACTATATGTCTCAAAAGCATCACAAAACATAACCTATTTTTTTGCCTCAATGGTATGACAAAACCTTATATTTTAATAACTGAAATGACTAAGCACACTGATAAACGGGTTGATAGCCCAAATTACCTTAAACCTATTATTTTTTATGAGAGTTCACATGAATGTGTTCAACTGCTCAGTTGAAAAACTTTAAGACAAAAAGATGTAAGTCCAAAATATCATGCGAGTACTTTCTCTAAAGTGGATACTGACTGAGAAGTGGATACTGAATGAGAAGGTGCTCAGTTTTATCCCCTTTTTTTTCCCCATCAAATAGTACCCAAAGCTGTAGGTAGCCTCCGTGATGTCTGGGAAATCAGGCTGCATCACAGGTTTTGCTCCCAATACCTAGAAAAATAAATCTCCAGAGAAAAAGTAAAATGCCTATTTGCTCATTTGAAATGCCTATTTTATGGTCCTAGCTGGAATTTTCAGAGAAATCTACATATAAAAGAAACTTTTCGTATGTTCAGAGGACTCTGAAAGAATGTCCTTTACGCAGAAGATAAACAGAAGATAGAACAGTCTGCAAAAAGGTCAAAATAAGCAAGTACAAGAACAGGATAAAGTGAGTAAAAACAATGCAACTCTTGGAAACACTGAAGTGGATGTATAAAAAACTGAAAAAAAAAGACTGAAGCTTGCAACTAATATAAAAGGATTTTTGAAAGACGCTTCTTTTAATGAAATAATGCTATCTACTCTTTAAAGTAAAAAGAAATTTTGTCTATATGCAAAATCATTGTTTAAAAAGATTTAGCAGATTCACTGTATTTCCCCTGTGCAGCTACAAGCAGAATGTGCATATATATATATATATATATATTTTTTTTAAGAAAACTTCTTTACTTATTTTGAAGTACTTTTACAAGAACTAGACATACATCATCATCAACCAAAGAATAGCACCAGATGAGTATATTATCGACCACAAAATTATACTCTCCATTCCTTTCCTTCAGTAGCCATCAAGAACCATTTGATGCATCAAATGCAGATCTCATTCCAGTATGGAACCCTGAGGCCTGTGGAGAGCTCTAATTTCAACTAGCCTACAAGAGTCCTTGAGGGACTGATTGTCTACTGGGTATAATTAGAGTAAAAATTTCATACCTTCTGGGCTTTTTTCATGTCATTCAGTGATTTATCTCAGCTGAAGGCAATTTCCCATACTTTCTTGAGAAATAAGTCAGACTACTGAAACAGATTGGGTAGTATAGTCCTCTGATTTTTCAGCACTAAATTCAGATTTAGGTCTTATGCAGTAGCTTCCTTTCTGGTAAATCTTGGGATTGAGACCATTGGGATCTAGAAGCTACCTATCTAAATAGCCAGATCTCAACACCAGCACAAACACACAGAGCCTCACAAAATGTCACTCAGATAGGTCAAGTAAACAATGTTAAGTATAAAAAGATAAAATATTCACACTGAACCAGGCTAGCTATAATCTCTCAGACTACCTTGGGAAAGCAACTTAAGAAGAGGTGTTTACTTTTCTTTTCCATGCAGTGTGAACTTATCTGTAATTTGTTTGAGGGGACGCATCTGACTTCTGTGTCATTAACTGATTCTTAAGTAGGACTCAGATTCTTGGCACATGCAATAAATCTGAAGAGCTTCTACAGCACTCCTTTGAAACCAGCGTAAATTCCTGTCAGCCTGTTGAGACTTTTACAATATGTAAAGAAATTCTTTATATTGTTTTATACAGATACATGTACAAATATATGTATTTATATTTACAAAGACATATACACATATAGATACATACACACGCATATATATATATACACAAAAATATTTCAGAAATCACTATCTCGATACTCTAAGAAAAAGCCAGAACTGATTTACCGCTGCTTTGAAAATGCAGTCTCAACTGCTATCTGGCAAAATGGTTCACTGTCTTTCAAATCTGATCCTGACCAGTATCTCACTCAGGCAACCTTGGCAAGCCTTTTGTCTGACAGTGGAACACACTTGTTTTGTTTTGCTTTTAAAAGTGAGACTGGCAGGTACATAATCAAATAATGAGCTTTGCTCCATGGTACTTCTGACAAATGCTCTGCTAGGTGCACCTGCCAACACAATCTCTCTCCTGTGATTATATATTCAGTTTGCAAATGACATGGGAAAAAAAAAAAAAGATATATAAACAATCTTTTCATACACACAGGAGAGGTAATGTAACATTTGGCAGGACAGCAGGTGGACTGTGGTTTTCCCTGGTATAAAGGAAAAAAATATTACAGACCTCCCTAATACCCTAAGCAACATAACTTTTTGGCTGTATTTAGTTTTTATTAACACTTTTAAAAGTGTTACAAACTCTCTGACTTCAGAACAATGAGATTATTGAACTTTTCTTTCAGATTTCTCTTTAAGAGAGTACGATTGAAAGAAGGAGCCACACAGCATCTGGATTGTTTTACACCACCCCAATACTCTACTCAGTGCTCCGCTTCTATATAGGTTTCCTCAGGAATTCCCTTGCTGGCATCATTTCAGGAATATATTTCCTCAATGACAGTAACAATTGTTCATGCTTTATCTCAATAAAGCACCTTCTCTACAAGTATCCTTACAAACTGACTATTTCTGTTATGCTGCATACACATATGTTATTCTTCAAGCTTTTTTAACTGGACAAACACATCATAGTAATGAGCAAGTTCTGTTTATTGAAACTGCGAATAAGCTTTTTATTCCATAGCCCTGTGTAGATTCTCATAAAACAGTTTATGAATTCTCATAAAATTGTTTCAATAGATCGCGAAATTAAAAATATTAAGACTCCCCAATCATTTTTACTGATGCTTACCTCAGTCTGAGTTTCCTGTGTGTTTTCTGCTATACATCATACTTGAGGTTTGTTGCAAATGCCTCTTCTATAGGGCTTTGAATTCTACATCACAATAGTAAGACTAGAAAATCTTCTCCTATCAATCCCTTTTTTAAATTGGCTGACTTTGTCCTCGTAAGGAATTTAAATAATCAATTCTGCCTCTTGTGAGGGTAAAGGGTGTAGTTGTGACCTTACTGAAGAACATTATTGTCTCTAGAATGTGAAATTAGATTCAATTTGCAGTAATCCCCACTTTTTATTTCTTTCCTGCACGTCTCAAAAATTTCAGTTGTATATCTTCTAATTTGTGAAGCATAACAAATATCAAATGCCTTAAATAATTTTCACTTTTTTTTGGTCATACTTTACCATAGCCTTCTCTGAAGGAATCAGGTTTGCAAACACAGAACAGTATCTCAGTTAAACTTTTTCCTATTTGTTTTTTTAAATTTTATTTCATTTTCCCCTCTTCCATTCCATTTTCCTTGTTTAGTTAACCTTCTAAAACCACGAGTTTGCAAGGGATCTACTTTACTCCACTGAGGAGAATAAGAGTAGTTAGCAAGACATTCTGAAATACCAGTCTTTCTTGCATGGTTCCAATACTGAAGATAAATTTAAAAGGAAATAATAATTGATATTCAGTATAGACTGAATTGTTTCCTTCCCTGGGTTGTGCTCCCTGATGTAGAAGCAGTTTGTGGTCTCAGTATTAATCAGCTTAGCCAAATGTGTACTATCTACACTAATTCCCATACTAATTACTAATTTATTGAATTTATTAGGATTGGTATCCAAATCAGCTAGATTTTAGACAGCACAAACATCTGTCTGTTATACAGACATGCCTTCCAGCTGAATGTAATGAGAGTTTCTCTAGAGAAATCTTGGCCTTTAAAGATCCAAAAAAGCACAAGCCTGTTTATTTTCGTTCAGTAAACCAAAATGAGGAAAACTACTTTATCCTTTCTAAAAAAGATAACTGGAAGAACCCTTGGTTCTAACACTAATGTACTTCTTGTGCATGATCTGGACATCTGAGGACATATTTAGTTATACCCTTCTTCCCAATTCCAGTCAACATGTCTCAATACTGTGTCTAAGTTCATCGAACAGCTATAAGAAGAGCACTGCATTTATGTATTTTTCTTTTAAGGTGAGAGACTTTCTTAAAACAAAAGGTAAAGTTTAACCATTTCTAGACCATTTAGGTTGCTAGCTCTGTCATAAACACGTCATCGGTGCACCATGGGATATTCAAATAATTTTGTTTAGAAAATGGAACATCAAAAAGTCTGTTGTTTAGACTTTGCATTAAAAAGCAGTGAAGAATGTTTGGATTCAAAGACAGACATTATGCTGACTTGTTCCAGTCCTGGTGCTCTAGGAAGCCCTGCCACAAGAATCCTAAGCAATAAACAATTGATAAAATATGTATACAGAAGAGGATGAAACAGAGGATGAAACAGAGAAATGAAACAAAGGAGAGACTGAAATAATTCTCTTTGTTTCTTAGAAAATACGTTCAAGTGAAACTAATGGGAAAGGCTAACTCCAAAAAAGTGGTTAAAAAAACCTACATGTTCTTGATATTTCTGCACAAACTTTATTCACTTAGGCAACCCTTCATATATTGGCGTTATTTTTGTTTAATTCACATATTTGGTTTCACTTATTTTTTTAAGGTCTTTTTAATTCTATTTTTTTAAAGGCTCTTTTAATTTGATGGGGTAAGTATTAGCATTAACAAAAGCCATACACATATTGGGTAACATTTAAAATGAATGTGCCTTTAAGCATCTGAGAGTTGATCATGACATTTTTTGTACTATAATGCCAAAATACAACACATGCAAAAGTTTCCAATCAGAAGAAAAACCTTTTTTTTCAGTAAACTCACACTCTACTTGTAATGTTGTTATGTCCTTCTCTTAAATATAACAGATAATCATGCTACTTCTGTTAGGATTAATGGAATAAAGTTAAGAAACAAAAGACGAACATTTGTCCTTAGTCTTGAGTATAAATGAAATGTGTTAATAATGAAGGAAACAGAAAACATAAAAAAAAGTTACTCTATTTGTTATTTTCTGCAAAATACTTGTATTTCACTGACATACAAACGTCATTGGCTATAGAAATGTTTAAGATAATAATCTCAATGCTACAAATATTTCTTATTTCACTTAAAGCCACTGACAGCTTTCTCTCTGAGACCTCAGTTCACTTCTATCTCAGTTCAGTTACCTGAAGCTGCTCTTCCAGTGCAGCCGTCGCTTTGTCTCCACTGTTTTCATCCACCACCACCACCATATGGGTAAGAGAGTTCACCTTCACTTGTTCCTGTTCCAAATCATCTTGAAATGCCTATAATTAAAACACAAATTTACGCAAGAAAATTTATTCCAAATTAAGAAAATGCTGTGTGCTTGAAGTCTCACTAACAAATACAAGTAACTAACCCACTACAATAACCTTGTAATCCCATTGCTGTAAATATTAAATATATTCAAATGTATTTTGTTAATGAATGCTAGCATAAGCATATTCTGTAGACTTCTATTCCTTTCAAGAATAGCTTATTTTATTATTACACACTCACAAGGCATAACTCTTATAGAACTTCAGACTGAAAATGTGGCCTGTGAAAATACGTGTTGAGTTGATATAGTTGATTATTTACAGATATCATTAAAGTATCCATACGTAGCAATAGCTCTGCCCATTTTAAAGAAACATTAGGTTGGGTTGTGTACTTTGTAACAGCATATTAAAACATTGTAATATTTCAAAATGTATAAAGTATTTAAAAGGATGCATTTTTTTTTTTTCATTAATTACATGATTTTTGGCTGCGCACTTCTTCATTAGCAACTTACTGTGAAAGTACTCAGGAGGTGACTCAAGATAGGAAATATATGTGGCACCCTCATTTCAATTATTGCGATAAAATAGAATTAAAAAAAAAAAAAGAAAAAAGAAAAAGAAACAAACAAACAAACAAACTGGGAGAGGCACTTTACAATTTCTGAATGCCTGAGGAAAAATTGTCTTGCCCTTTCAACTTTGGTATCCAGCATTCTACTGCAGTAAAACCTGGGACAGTTTTAGATGTGAAATACTGAACTGCTAAAAGTGAAGAAATGTCTATCTATCAAATTTGCACAAACTGGCATTCTCAACTTTGTCAAATTTGTACAACTCTTCACACTTGTTTGACCCTCCCACAATTTCCCAGACTTTATGTAATACATCTAATCAATTGTTCCTTCTCTCCTCACAGTGCACAGAGAAGGGCAGTGAGAACTCTCCTACATCTTCACTCTCTGGCAGAAAACAGTCTACAGCATTTTCACAAAACATATGATCTATGTTAAAAGAAAAAAAAAAAAAAGGGAAGAGAAATGAGGAAAGAAAGTAAAGGATTTAAGTTACTGAAAGGTACAGTGCTGCACAAACATCCCCTTCATGGGTTTTATTGTCTCTTTTTTTGTCTGCACTTCCATTGAAAGATGGACACTCTACCTTCCTGCAGTTTGTTAACAAAAACTGAAACTGAACTTGACAAGGGATGTGAAAAACAACAAGTAGGGATTCTAGTTTTACATTAGTTGGAAAAGAAAACCAAGGAGTTTACCACCTTTGAAAAATCAGAAGGGAAGAAATGGCAACAACAGACATGGAGAAGGCTGAGGTACCCAACAAGTTATTTGCCGGATTCTTCAATGTTTGTCAGGCTTCCCATACCTATCATGTCCCTGAACTTCTATGCAGGAGCTGGGGGAACAAAGTCCCTCCCACTGTAAACAAAGTGCAAGTTTGAGACCAACTAATGAGACTGAATGTGTACAGATCTATAGAACCTGATCACATTCATTCCAGGGACCTGAAGGAACTGACATTTGGTTTTCAAGCCACTCTAAACCATATTCAAAAAATGGAAAATGTAAGGTGAAATTCTCTGGTCTGGAAAAAAGGAAATATTATTCCTATTTATAAGAAAGGCAGAAAGGAAGAAAGATCCAGAAACTACAGGCTGGTGAGCCTCACATCTGTGCCTGGAAAGATCACGGAGTGAATCCTCCTGGAAGCCACATTAAGGAGAGACGAGGAGACAATCCAAGACATCCAACATGGTTTACTCAGGACAGATGGTGCCTAACCAATCTGGTGGCCTTAAACAATGGAGTGATAGCATTGGTGGACAAAGGAAGGGCAACTGAAGTCATATGCCTGGACTTCTGCAAGGCCCTTGGCATGGTCTCTCACCACATACTTATTTCTAAATTGAAGAGATACGGATTTGGCCTTCCAGAATGTAATGGGAGCTCATGAACAGGAGGGAGACAGACTTTTTATACAGTTTGATAGCGATTGGAAAGGGCTTTAAACTAAAAAAAAAGGAGATTTAGGTAAGATATTAGGAGGAAAGATTTTTTACTCAGAGGAAGGTGAGGCACTGGCACAGGTTGCCCAGAGAAGTTCTGGTTGCCCCATCCCTAGAGGTGTTCAAGGCCGGTTGGATGGGGCCCTGGGCAGTCTGATCGAGTAAGTAGAAAGGAGGGTGGAAGAAGACGATATTGAAGGTCCCTTCAAATCTAAGCCATTCTATGATTCCATGATTACGATTCTGTGGAAACAAAACGAGCTGAAGTCCTGCCAAAAAAGTAGAGAACTGAACAACCAGACATACTTGCTTCTTCCTCAGCTGTGATGTAACAAGAGGACAAGTGGCAAAGATTGAAATAACCAGAGGTAAAGCATTGACATTGAAACTTCAGGCCACAGAGAAGGCACTACTGAATTTCTTTTCATAATATTCATTACTTTATTACTTAGACTATGCCCTCAACACTTTAGCAGAGTGTGCCTTCAAGATTCATACATATGTAGTCTAATAGTTACAGTTTGCAAAATAAAATGGCTAACTTTAAATGCTAGTGGAAAACATAAATGCATTACAAACTATGTTAAATTTCAATTTCACCATATCAATTTTTCTGCTGCTTTTTCCAGTAGAATAATTCACTTCAGTATGAAGAACATGCACTAGCTGAAGATTAGGTTAGGTATTTTACATCTCTTTTGTAAAGCATTTTAGTTTTATTTGAAAAAAAAAAAAAAACACAAAACAAAACAAAACAAAAACAAACATATAATGGAGCTATACACAACAGGAAAGGAATTCATAGGCTTTTGATTTTAAGGCATAAACCTCTTAGTCTAAGATATTTCAGAGTTTTAATTCCTTTATGAGCATATTCTGGGATGATATATTCATAAGAATCCTTTGTTCTGACTTTTATGCCTGTGATTACCACTTCCATCAGAGAGCGAGACTATAAAGCAATTCTCAAGGACTGTGAAGTACACCAAATTATTAAAACAACCCTTAGAATTCAGACTTCTCAACTTTATCCTGACACAATTCTTGATGAAGGAACAGGATGACAACTGTTTGCTTCCGTTCACTCTTTTATTTAAGCCTCACAAAGGTTACATCCAGGGAGGAGGTGATTTTTACTTCCTTATTAGGGGATATATGAAATACGTCAAAACCATGGAGCAAGCGATGCTCTGTAAATGCAAGAAGTAAAAGTGTGAGCCTCACACACACTGTGAAAGACGTGAGAAGTCAGTAAACCAATGAAACTAAAAAATTTAGTCATTGTCTAAATCCCCAGGTTCAATTCGCCTGAGCTCAATGGCTGTTCTTCATAATTAAAGCATCTATTTTTACCACGAAATTCACTGGAGACAATGATTTGTATGCAGGAACTTGTTGAAACAGGAATTTACTGAAGACAGTTTTAAAACCAGAGCATGCTCTGTTCAGATCATTTGAATTCTAAGTTCTAACAAGCAATCCTCAGCTCAGAGGGAGGAAATTTTCAGGGACTTAAAACTTTATCTATCCCTGTGCTCTTTCCGTGTTTCAATTATATATGTTGACGCTCTGAGACAGCACCAAAAACTCATAAAACACCACAGCTGCTCTAATTCCTATCTGCCTATCAGATCATAAGTTATTTGAGTCCCAAGTAATCTAATTCAAAGGGAATAAAATTACACAGGGTATCAAAGTACCTAAAGATATATCCCTGATAATTTGAACACTTTGGAAGTCTCCTAATTTACCTGTGTGATTTTCTTCTTATTATTTTTTTTTTTTTAAATCAATTACTACAAGATCCTCACATTAAGTATTTTCTGAAGTTAATGATATTTTCATTCAAAAATAATACTTAAAAGAAAATAAAAGCCCAGCCTTCTAGAAAAAAACAAAAACAGAAACAAAAACCCTAGAAGCAGCTCAAGATTTATTTTTTCCCCAAAAAAGGTAATGAAATTATGATTTTTAAAAAAATTACAAATTGTATAATAATGTGGAATGATGATAGTAAAACCATTAATTAAAATTATTTTTTTCCTTAATAATAAAATGTATGGCATTATTTGGCTTGAACTATTCAATAGTTCTCAGACTTCTATTGAAAAATAGCTTTTTCCCTTAATAACATTATAAATAAAGGATTCTTACAAGTGAAAAAAAAAATGCTTAAGATACTGCTGCAAAAGCAATAGTCTTTTTAAAAAAATGTTTGTGTATTGCTCCAAAATACACTTAACTATTCCAAATTTCTTACTAAAGATGTATGCCTTGCTAGTAACATACAATCTCTCTGCCAATCCATTCAGGAATTTTTTCTGTACTATCAAGTTATTCATCTTTCACACTACTGAACTAAGCCGCATGCTGAAAAAAACGCTCTTTGCCTTCTCTGATCCCAGTGATAGGTGTGATTCCCAATCTGCATTACAGAATGACTATTTGTAGTGTTGGACCTGGTAAATAAACTGAAATATTGAACTGTGGGAGCAGGTAGGGAAGTCATAAGGCTAAAAATAAAATGAAATAAAGAGTGGAAATGAGGTATTAACAAAGGGAGAAAGAGGGGGAGAAGATGACAGAAGTAAAGAGGAGATGGAGATAGGAAAATGACAAAACCAACCTATCATCTTTGTTTAATTTGAAATGATCGTGGCCTACCTTCTCACCTCAGGAAGAGAGGTGACTTTTTTTACCTACATAGAACTATACATGCGTAATTGAAAGGAAAAAACAGATGTTCAGTTGTAAAGATACCAAAAAATATTACTGTATTCAAAATCTGTTTGTTTGTTTGTTTTTTCTCCAAATACCACCTCATAACTATCTGTTCTTTTCTGAGAAATTTAATGTCAGAATATACACTTCACTAGCAAACCTACAGACCATCATCATCTCACAAAGCAGTGAGAGTACAAAGGGAAGCAGTAGAATTCCTGTACTTCTTCAGAACTCCTTAATCAGAATGCAGAAAAATTATCTTCAACACTAAAGTGGCTCACGCGACCTTTCACTGCTTTTGATCTCTTCTATAGAAACCACAAAAGCTGTTTTCAATATTAATTTGTTCTGGGAGATTATCTGCCCTCTAGAGCCTGTACACTATAGTACTGACATAGGCCATGAAGCAGCAAATGTTAAAACCTGTCAAGACACTACTCTAGACAGAACTCTAGACAGATTTTGAACTACTGCTGTGGAAACATTAATAGATTATCACAGTACATCTCTATCACCTCATTCTCTATTTTTTATACTTCTCAGTATCTTCCTAACACTATCACCATACTTGTCACAAATACATATATATGTATTACGTCTTTAAAGATACACTGACGCTTAGTAGTGCATATGTAAAGGTAATTAGGAAAAAGGTCCATTCATTGTGAAACTTCAATTAATGCAAAGCTGATTTAATTCAGTTAAAAACATCTATTACATGAATTACAGTCTCTCTCCAGCTCCCTCCCTTTCAAATTGAAGAGCATTTTCCTTATGGAATATGGAATATATTGGTCAAATTGTCTCCCACACTTCTTTTATTAGTTTTTTGTTTTTCATGGATACTATTAATTAATTAACTAATTATTAAAAGAGATTTTTTAAAGTTAAAGTTTATTTTATAGTGCTTCATGGTTACATATTCACAGTCCCAGGAGTCCTAACAAGATGCTGCAACCCAGTTATGGCTACAGAATCAATGTTTTTACAGCATGCACGAGTAAAAATGCAACACGAAAAAAGAAAAAAAAACAACACATGCATTATAAAATCTGATAAGATTTGTATTATAATGTATAACAAAGAGATGTTACAGTTGCCTAGTGTATTCTCGTGCATTGTTTATATGGAAAAAAGAAACTTTTTGTGTTAGGATAAAAGTCAGAATTGTGATACAGTAGCTCACTAGTAAAAGCCTGTTAATTGTACAAAACAATTTGTATTAAACCAAGATTCCATATTACACTGCTGTGTTCTTATGGGAGGAATAGCCATTCAAAATGTTAAAAATTCACTTTTTAAAGCTTTTGGAAACTATATATGCATGCAGTACCCAAATTCCATACCATACCTTATGTTCTTCTACTTGACGCTTTAAGTCCTCTAGATCTGGTCCTAAGGGCTCTGAATCTATCTTCTTTGTCCTTTCCTCTGTTTTCGTTAGCCAGTCAGCTAACTGGGCTAGTTGCTGATTCTGGAGATCCATTAGGATTTTATGTAAACTGTAAAACAAAAAAATAACATCTCAATTTATACATGAAACAAAACCTGTCTGACCTTTATGCTCTTGATTATCTTTGTTAATATTACAGACTGCAAACTAGATGACAGCTTTGCAAGACTTTTCAATCTCAAAATCTGTTCTTTCCAGAAGACACAAAGAACATCCTTGGGCATTTTGATTGTTAAACTGATTTTCATGAGGCTAGATGTCAAGCCAGAATAAAGAATATTTTCAGGCAGGTAAATGAAGATTTGTTGAAATAGTACTGAATTAGGCAATAATTAAATTGAAATGAATTCCTGAGTCCAGGAATTAAAAACAAAACAAAACAAAACCCTTAATAACCCTTAATAACCATTAATATAATCCATTTAAAGAACCATGGAACTGGATATATTTCATGTTTTCTCTGAAGTTTTATTCTCTAGCTGCATTTCTATTACAGCTATTCAAAATTTCAAAACATCATTTGGATTCATAAACTTAAAAAAGACATGTACTTCAAAGGTTTCTTCAAATTCAGGATATTACACAGATCACTGAATCTTCATTTATCCAATGGAGATATTCTCAAAAAACTAAAAGGTATTTTGATAACTCCAAAATGATCTGACCAGAAATCCATAAAAAATAGATCACATTTCATACTTGACACCTTCAGAAATCCTTTAATCTTGTCTTGCCTAAACAGAATCCGCAACTCATCAAAAACACTTATGAAATAATATGTAAGCTGGGGCTAAGCAAAGGAATTACAAGTAATTATTTCTATTTCCCATCTTCCATATACTATGGAATTTTAAACTTAGATCCAGTTCACCGTCCTCCATGATATTCAAACACAAAATACTTTTTCATTGAATTGAACCTGTTTTAAAAATTGTGGAAATCTCTATAAGGTGGTAAATGGCAGTAAGCTTTCCTCTCCCTAGTTTCATTTATCACTCTGAGATACTTTACAGCAAAGAATTCTGGGGAAAGGTAGGAGGAAGACATGAAAAATCAGGTTGTTTTACTTCACCATGTTAATGCATTACTTGCTGCAACAGTCAAGTATATTCAGTACATACTGAACACAGGGTAAATTCAACTTGTACTGCATTTAAATAAATGCACTGCTGTGCTCCAAAATTCCTCTGATAGTCTGATCTCCCAAATGACTTGTCAAATATTAAGTCCCTTTCACTTTTATAGTATCTGTTATTACTAAATCTTTTTAATTTTTGCTGATTGTCTGCATTTGTTTCCCTTGTGCTGTAGCATAGTCTATTTTTAATTTCACTCCCCACTGCAGAGGGCAGACAGTCCTGTGGTTCTTATCTTCACAAACCATCTCTGTTTGGATTGACAAGTCAGTCTAGTGTTAAAGATGGGATTACAGCAATGTGCTCAAAAGATTATTCTTTACAACAAGGTAGAAGATCCTGAAAGTTTAAATTGAGTCTAATAACATACAAATACATTACATGTGATATGAAAGCTGTTTCAGTTCATAAACCATCAGCTGGTGCCTGAATCTGTTGTGACTCAATAGTCAATATTAGCCATCTTTAAATTCATTGCTTCTAAGAAATTTTCTTCTACCTTAACCAAAATTTCATTAAGTTTGTCCAATTTTTATTTTTATTTTTTAAATAAGAAATTAAAATTAAACAGTAACACCAGTAACACAACATTCTCTGTGAAGTTCTCATCTTCTGCTGATTTCATTCATCACTGATTTATGCAAGGTCATAATGGAGAGAAAACACAAAAACAAAATCTCAATACTCAATTAAAAAAAAAAAAATGGGGAAAGGGGGAGAGGGAAGGAATTACTACGCATTTATTGCAGGAAAATTACCAAAACAAACATAACAATGTTATGTGATTGTTCAAAATTATAGCTTGCCTTTTAATATTGTCTGCAATTCTGGTTGCTTTTATGCCAGAAAGATAAGGTAGAATTTATTTGCTCAAAGAAGAGCAAAAGAGCAAGATAAATAATAAAATACATGTATTTATAGCAAGAGTAAGAAAATCTAACTGATGTTGACCACGAATAAGTTAGCAGAGACCAGATTAAAACCAACAAAAAGACACCATCCCTCAGAAAAATAGTAGGAAGAATCCTATGGAATTCACTGCCAAAGGATGCTTTGGATGGTATTAAGTTTACACAGGTCCAAAAAGACATGGAAAAAAAAAAATGATAAGTTACAAAATGGATACAACTATTTTCATCTCAGTAATCTCTCTCAACTGGAAACAACCTGAAGTCATGGAAGAGCTAAACAGACTGCATAATATAAGACGTGAACAATCAAATCAGTGCAGTGGTTCACAGAACCCACTGCTTGGTGTAGGTGCAACACACTAGTTTGCAGTAGGTGGATACAGCCCAATATTTCCTACCTACAGCAGAAAAAATGAGATGAAAAGATGCTCAGTATATCATGTACCTCCTCTAAAGCTTGTTCTTTTCCTGATTAACAAAGATATTCAATCTTTTATAGAAATCACAGATATAAAAGGACTTGCTCTGCAGGTGTACCTAAGAGTTTCTTGCTTAGTACATTTTTCTGAGAGAAAAATTAAGAAGCCATCAGAGATCTCAAATTTGGGTGGTTTGTTGCTGCACTTATTTGTATTTATTGTATAGAATGGCTATACTTAGCAATTAACTTCTTAACTATAAAGAAACTGACAGTGACATCCCATTAATTTTAAAGTATCCTGTGGATTTGACTCAGTATGATAGTTGTAAACTTCACCATTGCTTCCTTTTTACAGAAGGATCAGTAAGGGTGCAAAATTCCACAAGGCAAAACAGAATCCAGTCAGCTGAGTTTGAAGCTGAATTATTGCATTAGACAGGAATTAAAAGACTCCATGTGAAAAAAAAAAAAAAAAAAAATCTGAGAAAAAAGGTATGTGAAAGACAGGTACATAACAGAATTTTCTTAAAGCTGAAGGAATTCAATTCACAAAAATAAAGTCACCTTTCAATAAATTTCTTCTGTTAAACACTCCATACAGAGCAAAATAAATTACAGCAGCATAATGACAAGATTTTACTTTATGGACTTTCTTATAATAAATACTACTCTGGAAAACAAAATTTCAAAACAAGACACAGAAATGTTAACATTTCTAATTTTAATTAGAATTTTTTAAACATTATTTTTAACATTAAAAGCAATACTTAAAATGTATTTAAGCTTCAGTGTCACTACACGTCAAATTTCAGGTTAAAATAAAAGCAGTAAGTTTGAATCTTGTTTACAGTGAAAAATGCACAGCTGTTACTCAAGTTCAGGATTGTTCCAGCTAAATTTGATGCATATTAGTTTACCTGGCATATCACTTACTTGCTTTGTTTTTCCATACTTGCAACCCTGAGACTTTCCCATCGAGAATTGAGTAGATTCATTTGTTCTTGAATTTCGTTTTCTTCATCATCTGAAAGCCTTCCAATTGTTAAAAGTTGACTTCCAACTTGCAAAACGTTACCAACACGGCCTTGGTGAGCTGTTAATTCCATCATGAAACCCTGACAATAGAAAGAAGATCCTGTTTTAAGTTTAATTCACTGGAAGGGAAGAGCAAACTTTAGAGAAATATCTTCAATTCCACCATATTCCAAACCTGATTTTTCAATTTTTTTTTTTTCCAAGCTCTCCTCAAATCTTGTAACACAAAACAGAAATGAGCACTTCAACATTTTGCATTCAGTACTGCCTTTAAATTCTACAAATAAAAATTTAAAATAAACAAATACATATATTTGTTTAATATACATCTTTTTCATTTTCTTACAAGATCCAAGTAGATAAATGACCAACAGAAGATGATTATAAATACATACCTCATGGGTATGAAACTGTTCTTTAACAACTTCTACATCACTGGATATATCCCCTTGTGCTTGTAATGCATCTTCAGCAGAGAGAAGCCACGTGAGTACTTCTTCTAAAGCAGTTTGGTAGCTGTCAAGATCCATTTCGGACCTCATCACTGTGGTGGTATATGTTCTTTTTTCAACAGTTTCCAAAAACTGATCAAAAACAGTAATGCAAAGAGAACCTACTCAGACAGTTCTAGAAAGGAATACATAAAATGCCATTTTCTTGTATAATAAAACAGCTTTTTATATAACAATTTGACAGCTAATGCAAGGGATTACATATTAGTATACCTGCTAATTACCCAAGATAAATTGAGGAAAATAACTAAATTCAGATTAAATGAGATATTTTACACACAAATTCAAATTATCTAGCAAACATTCAGAAAAACTGCAATATTTAAATTGTAGCTGTAGAGTTCTGTTATACTCTTTTGGAACTGAAAGAAATTTATTTTCTACAGCAGCTAGTAAAACTATATCATCAGAAAGCTGAAAGTTGCATGCTGACACTGCAGTGAAACCAATACATCAATAACAAGTATTTAATAATTACTCTGATCTTAGAAGACAAAACAGAAGCTACAAACATGGCTTGATATAGAAAATGTCACCTCATAAATTTATAAAAAAATCTGACAAAGTTTAATTAATTTGCTAGCTAGTCAGTACAAAAGCAAACACATAAAATTATATTTAGGCCTCCATCAAAAAATATATCAAGAAATTTAAAGATTTATTAGTATAAATATACTTGAGCAAAGAGAACATTTGGTAGAGCTTTTGAAGCCTTTCACTGTAGCTTAGGACAGAAAGTCAAAGTTTAATCCTAGAACTAAAAAGGATGTAATATGATCACTAAAAAGGAATGTGCGCTAGGCTAACTTAACTTCTTCACTGTTTACATGTGAAAAAAGCTGCTTAGTAAATAAGGGTACATCATAAAAGCAGGCTTGGAAATCTGATGACCTCAATAATCTGGTTTTAATAAAATAAATAGTGATGCACAGACAATATCAGCACATATTCCTGCTGACAAATCAACATCTGAACTGTATGCAAATCTAGATTTTTAAGTGTTACATAAATTTCATTAAGAAATAACCCAACCATATTACATTTACGCAGCAAGTTATCTTTTAATTACCTAATTTACTACAGAAAGAGGTAAACTGACCATTGTTCCATCTGTCATCTGACTGAAAATTCTCCATCTGAAAATCTCTCATCCTCTAGATACCACACAGAATGTTCTCTCGTGTATGATATCTCTTAAAGCAAACACTCGCTAACTGCTCCTCTGCAGAACAAATACTTGGTGTAATTTTCCCTAGTAATTTTGATAAGACTTTTCTCTCATGTTATTGTAAATACTGTATGAAATTGCATTAAAAAATCCCAAACTAGCAAAAAACTACAAAATGGTGCAGATTATCTTCTGCACAACTTCAATAAAATTTTGAGAAATGTAAAAGAGAAAAGCAAACAGTAATATAAATGGATATCAAAGTAGCTTCTTGGCATCTACTCCAATCTATTGTGTTCTCTCATTCAAAAAAATTGCAGTTTCCTGACATAAGAAAATCAGAAAAGAGCTAAAGGAAGTACAAGCAAAGGACTGTGCACAATGGCATCAGTAAGCCCTTTATTTGGTGTTGGGAGGCAACAATAAATTTTCCATGTTCCCTGAAATTTTACAGCATCACTGACTGCAGAGAACTGGAATCAGTCATTAGGGAACATAGCAGAGAAATGGATGCTTGTTGATGTGTAAACAATAAAAAAACCAAACCAAAACAAAAACAAACAAACAAAAAAAAACCCATATCTGTGGATGACACAAGTTCCTGAATGTTGAGGACTGTGTCACTATAACATTGTACATTCCTTTCCTCCACGCTTATGGTGATAAGAAGGAGCAATAGCTAGAGAATAACCATCAGACGCAGAAATATTATTAGCCACTTCTTATTCTAGAGCACGCAGTCTATTTCTCTTCAGATCTGAAGCAACAATCTGATGTTAAGCTGTATCTTCACTACTTCTATCAGTGCTTTTTAGTTATATGAAATAACTGAGCATTCTTGCTCATCCTGCATATGGAATGCAAAACAGTGGAAACTCCAATTGTGCTATGCAAACACCGACTAGCAGATGACTATTATTCCTGTAACATTCCCAACATTCCCATTTAAAACTAAGATTCCTGTTGGCTCAGCTGTAAATGGAACATTAAACACCATATTAAATATTCACATTTGGAAGCGGACAGGTACTACCACATGCATTGTATTAAAAAAAAAAAAAAAAAAATTAACAAAAAGAAGTTAGGTATCTCAGTATGATATTCTGTATAACCCAAGAATAATGAACATAATCCACTAGCAACAACTAAACTCCTGAATTTTATACATAATAATGGTAGACAAATTAGTTTAAAAACAAACCACACCTGCCAGTATCTTTATTTCTGAATTCATATAAAATCTTTTCAGAATAAATACAATACTGAGAAAAATAGAATTTGATGTTATTGCATATACCACATTGAGACCAAAATCATGGACTTGCTAACGGAGATAGCTACCATGAATGGTTTCCAACCATAATTCTTAAGAGAATAAAAAACAATTCAGACAAGCTGAAATTAGACTGTTGTGGTGTATTACTAGGAAAACTATACTTCAGAAAAAAACCTGCTCATATGTGCATGCATGCAGTCTCCTTCTTGAATAAAAACTATTATTAGTAAGGAATTTAATTATTGCTCAAAAGAAAGCTGATTGGGTGCAGTCAAATCAAAACATCCCGTTTGTTTATATAATCCATTGAGTAACAACACATGCATGAAGACACAAATGCTAAGGGGAAATTAAACCAAACAATTCAGATATTTGATGAAAGCTGCCTTACATCCAGCTGGGAATCAGCAAGGCAGCCACATCGGAATTGTTTTGGAAAATTAACTCGTCTTTTTTTTGTATGGAAAACAGGGGTTGACCTAGAAGGCAAAACAAACAAACAAACAAACAAACTTTGGACACAAAGGTAGTCCTCTAGGACCCTTTTTTTTTTTTTTTTTTTTTTTTTGGCCAATGAACATAGACGTATCCTATGTGTATAAAAATATGGGAATGTGAGTTTTTATATACTTCACCATTTTCTGCTGGGGAGACTAGGGGCTGTCAAGAGTGTAAGACCCTCAGGAACATTTCACTTCAAATTAAAATATAAAAAGAGAAAATAAAAAGCACTTGATCTTCTGAAACTGGAAAAATAAGGCTTGCTTGGCAGCTGTCTGAATTAATTCACAGTGATTAAATGATGAGCTTCCAGCTGCTTCAGGGTGAGAAAGCGAGGAGAGTGAGGGTTGCTCACCTACCACTATATTATATTCCCAAAGGAAGGAGAAGATTCACACATGCTAGTAAATTTTCCAAGAATTTTTGTGTTATTGACTAAGACTCCTTATGAGTTTCAGAAATTACTTAGTTTCTGGAAGCAGTTTTACAGTAAATACTTAGGATCTATTGTAGCACTCTTATTTACATTACATCTTTCTTCGTTTCAAATCTGCCTTTGTCTCACTGTACGATATGAATCTAGCTCCACACTTTTAAAATTCAGAGGCATCAAATGTTAAAGAAACATTTCTTTTTAACAAATGCAGTTTTATATTCAGTGTAGTTTTCTCCTTTGGAAAAACCGCCTTTTCAGAATTACAGCCTCAGAAAATAGCATGCAATTTGACCATCTAATCACAGTTCCTACCAGAAAAGACAGATATCATTGCTTATCCCATCAGTTGTGCAAGGTTTCTCATTACAAAATCATATTTCATGTCTTTAAAATTGTAAAATTATAACTGTTCAGACTGAAATGTTCTTCACAATAATAAAGACTATGATAATATCATAGGATGGTTCAGTCATTTTTGGTCATAAAACTGATATATTGTCCAGGTCACTTGTTACTACACCATTAACTACTTCCCCATTATAAATGAGGTTGGTATTTTCAGTTTATTCAGGATTCTAGTAATTTCTTTGCAAGTGGAAATATCTTTGATCAGGAAGGGGCTCTTTTTGTCATTCATGTGAAAATTCACTCAAGATTTAAGCATACCAAAAATCTGAAAAACTGCAGTTTTTGCTCGCTCATTTGAGGCACCCTACATTATAGTAGCAGATTTCTTTAGTGAATCCATTTACACTGAAGATGCTTCCATCTGGATGAATCCCCCTCTCCTTGCAACTGGCGGTTTTCACATGTAGTAGACTGGTAAGTCCACTGCAACTGAACAGAGTCAAAAGCAGGCAGCATGAATCTAAATGTATTACAGATGAAAGAAAATGCTGAAAATATTGTCTGGAAATGGTAAAAGAAAATGCTTATATTTAACCACTCAACCACTCCCACAGATACAGCTGGTAAACATGAAGTCTGGAAAAGCCACAGACTTCCCTGGCTACAGACAATTGTGCATAACTCTAGAAGTATGCTCAAGTCAACTGAAAGCTAGTGAAAATCTTGAAACAAATTGTATGAGATGACTAAGGGAAGAGACTAAGACTAGGTAAGAAAAAGAATAACTAAGAATTGTTAAAACAGTATAAGAGTTAAGAAATAGGAACTGAGACTGTCAGCTACCTGGAATAATCCAATTTTCTCACAATTTGAAGCTTTTTAGTTTTACATTTATGGTCAGATAAATCATTCAAAAAAAAGGATTTCATCCCTTCATTTACTTGTTTTCTTCAACACACCTATACCTGAAAAAACAGAACAGTTTTTTTTACAAGCTCTTTGACTCATTTTTCACAAAACCTACTTAAACATATATGCTATTTATTCTTTTAAATTTATCAGAAAACATTTCAGCCTTTTCCATTTTCTAATTATATTGAGATTTTTGTTCTATGAAATGTATCCCTGTTTGAAGTATTATTGATGACAAGATGCACAGTACTTTCTTCAAAGAATGGCCCTTCTTCAAGCAATTAAGAATTATGACTCTAAACAGTAAGATGACTTGATATAGATGTGTTAAATGAACTGACTGTGATTGAACTGAATTAATTCACCATACACCTATAAGAAAATTAAGATTTCTTGCTACGAAAATACCACCATTTCTCAACACTTCCCTA